AAGAATTTATTTATAAAACTTATACCCCACCATAGGAAATCAAGTCAGCTAATGAAATCAAGCAAACAAATATCATACACACCCTCATTCAAAACAGCAAGAATAATAAACCCTATGTTAATATAATGAGCCAAAAATAATGACTGTCATTATGTGACCGATGAATAACATAGAATAAAAATATATATTCTGGGAACAGCAGTCAAACTGCAAGTAGCAATATCAATTAAATCGCATAGTATTTATGAAGATCCAAGTTTCACCAACTGCTGAAAACATTATTATAGCACCTTGGGGGCCTTGGCAGAGAGGTAGTAAATAATTGCAAAAAAACCCCAAACAAATAAGAGTGCCAGGGCCCAACTGATCTCAGCTGGCAGGGCGTTCTACAGGGTGAGTGTCACTGAAGAAAAAGCCCCATGTGCGGCAGCTAAGCTGTTTGCTTCACAGAGTCAATGAATCTGGAGCAGTGTGTCAGGTGATGACCAGAGCATGCAGGGAGAACCATATGGAAGGAGGTTGGTCCTTCAGAAAAAAAACATATTGAAGGTTCTTTTTAATCAGCTTTGCTGCAGGGAGAAAGGAGTTAGTATGCTGATGTGGCTGTGTAGTGCATGTGCACTTTGCAGGTTTTCATTCAGAGATGAAGACTGTGAAACTATCCACACCCCAAGAGGGGGTGCAGCAATTGAGCCAGCATCGTTCCTGTTCCACTACTCCCTTTGCACCTCCCTCTCTTCTGCTTGGTGGTGGTGGGGGGGGGGCAGAAAGATTCCTGCTTCCATGTCAATAGGAAAAGAGGCTGCATCTCTCAGCCCCACCATTAATGTTAATCTTCAATTAAAGCTTTTGTTTATTGATCAATTGATCATATTGATTTAAGCTTGCAGAACTAGATAGTGTATTGGACTGAGAGGCCTGAGGTGTGTTAGGGTCCCTCTCAGCTGCAGATTCTCTTGTTTGCCTCAGTTCATGATCTGTCCAATGGAAATTTAAAAAAATGACTACCTCACAAGGTTCTTGGATGCATATAGACCAAAAAGATTCTTGTTAGTTTTGCTTATTATGCCTTTATCCCACCCTTTTCAACCAGGAATTTAGGGTGTCATACGCAGGTTCTCACAACAACCCTGTGAGGTACGTTAGGCCGAGAGATAACAACTTGTCCAGGTCAGCCAGTAAGCTTAGTGTCTACATAGGGATTTGAACCTGGGCTTCTCTGGTCTAAAGGTCAAAGAAGATGTGATAGCAGAATGACTTTGATCAGATTTCTAGCGGTCCCCCCTTTAAGGGGGACTGATTCTGAAAAGATAATCCTCTCTTGGAATTACTACTTTCCTTATGGGGCAAAACATACAAAAGGAAAATATGGTGATCAGGTGTATGCGCACAAAATTGGGAATATTATTGCTTTATTATTTTGTTTGCTAGTTGACTAATGCCAAATGGTCTTTAGGTGACTCGCAACAATTCTAAAGCTTGCAGAATTTTAGAACAACAAAGATAAAGCAAAATTATAACATTTCACCCACCCCACCCCAAAACCAACAGCTCAGATTTGAAATAATTACGGCGCAGGAACTGGCACATCACATGCCTGCGAAAAGAGCAGTGTGGGAGCACAATGCACTGAAATTGCTCCTATCCCATGTGGTGTGTGGATGATAGGTAGCAAAGGGTAGGTCCATTAAGGCTTGGGAACTACCTGCATATTACAAATAAATCTCTAGCATAGAGACACTAGGAAGCTTAGGAGGTGGTGGTGGTGGTAGTTGTTGATCATATACATTCAATGTGCATTTAAAGCACACAAGTCCCCCACGAGAATCCTGGGAATCATTGTTTGTTTGTTTGTTTGTTTGTTTGCAAAGTTTTAAAATTATTTGATTTTATAATGTATATAAAACAAGAGAGAACAGTTATAACAACAGACGGAAATTAAAAGATGAAAGACAAAACTATAAAAGAGGCAAGTAGAAGGTGACCAGTTGCACGTGGGTTAAAGTCCAAGTAAAGACTATGAGGAATCATACTTTAAGGTTGCTTAGAACGGTAGCTAGGTGAGGAGGGAAACTACCGTCCTCAGGCTTCTTTGGGGGAAGTCAGGTGCTGTAAATGTGCACTGGGTGTGCTTTAAATGCTTTAAACGGGTGGGGCGGAAAAATGAGTAAGGGGAGCAGTCAGGTGCCGAGGAGGACAGGACACTCCTGTGCCCGTCTTCAGTGTGCAGTACAAGACGGCACATGGGCGGCTGCAGCTTATCTCATCATTGTAGTGCTGCAGGAGTGAAAATCTCCTCTTGTTGCGCGCAACCCTGAGCGGTGCGGGAGCCTGCGCTGCGCTAAACCGGCCCTTCCTGCTGAGGAGGAAGGGAGCAGCAGCAGCAGCAGCAACAATGGCAGAGCTTCCGAGGGGGCTGTTGAGAAGGGGTGCAGAAGGGAGCGGCGGGGCAGGCGAGAAGAAGCGCCCGCTGCGAGGAAGGAGGCCTGTCCGAAAGGGGCGCGCGTGTTGCGGCTAGAGAAGCGGCCACGCGAAGTCGCCGCGTGTTTTCGCTCAGGCTCGCCGCAATCCTGCTCCCGCCAAAGGAGCAGCGCGGGGCCTCCCTTTCGCCGCGGCCGGTTTGCCTCGGCGAGCAGGCCTTCGCCGGCCTCCCCGCACGGGCCGCGGGGCCGGAGCTGGAGGCCTCGGGGTTGCCTGCGGAGGCGCTGCCCTTGCGGAGAGAGGCGCCTGGAGGCCCGGCGAAAGCGCGGCTGGGAGGCGGAGGGGAGGGAGCGGGATCAGCTCAGCGTGGCATGACGAGACGAGGCCCCCGGAGAAGTGAGCTATGTCCCTTATTGGTCACACTACATTTCTTTTTCATTAGCAGTTAAATGCAGACATGAGGGATCGGCGCAGGTTCACTGGGCGCGCGCCGTGCGGCATTTCCGGCCGTGATGGATTAGCCCCGGTGGAGGCGGCGGGGACGAGGGCGGGAGGGGGAAAGCCTGCTGTCAGCAGCCCCAGCTGTGGACGCCTGTCATGGGGGAGGTTGGGGGGGGGGACACCGTGACACACGTCTCAGCAAATAGGAAGGACAGGGAGAAGAACCAGGGCCTCGCATGAGGGTCCAGGGATGAGGGCACAGTGGCGGATGAGGTGGGACAGGCTGGGCGGGGAGTAGGTTGGTTGTATATATCACAGGCAAGTGTACCTATTGGCATTTCCTCGTTGTGTCTGCTAGTTGCCAGCACATTCTCCCCATGTATGTGTTTGGCTGGTGAGCACTACTGGCTTTCTTGTTTTGTGAATGAGTCTGGAACCGTCCTCAGCATACACTTGTGCTTCAGAAATTCTGGAATTGTAGCATCCAGGCACGTGGGCGAAGCAGAAGAAAATGTGGTGCTTTAAGCATTTGCATATACATTTTAGATGATAGGGCAATTGACATTTTGAAGTGAAAGATTCCAGAATCCTTAAGTGTCAGACAAACTGTGTGCTGACCCCCACACTGAAGTGGATTGTAATCTCTATGTTAGCATTTATGTATTCTTTTTTTAAAAAAGTGTTATCAGCATCTAGCCCACCCCATTCCCAGGACAGCCAGCAACGTGCTATTTTACTGCAAAATCGCATCGCTTTAACCTCATTTGTGCTATCCCAGCTCAACACAGGCCAGTGACAAATGGGAAGCAGTGCAAACATTGCGAAGATTTTTACCTAACACATATTAGAGGATATGTGGGTTGACTCTAGTGAGACAGAAGGCGGAGGGTTCTAGCTCTCCATATCTGGAGCAATGTGAGTTACATCTAATAGCTGGTTTTATCTGAGCCGATCATCAGATTGGGCTTCTTGTTACTCAGGCGTAGGAAGCTGAATTTAAGGCATAAAGGAGAGAATTTAAACCTGAACACTGTTTTTATCCATACATCACAGGTTGCCCGCTTGTCCCAATAAGAAACTAAAAGGGTATTTTTAGACTTAAGTTTGAAGAAGGAACCCCAAGTTCATCCATGAACAGTATTAACAAAGCAATGAGATGGGGGGCGGGGGCAGCGATTGTAGGTTAAAGCCAAAGGGCATTGCCAGTATTTTGCTTGGGAACATACACACAGGCAAGTATCACAATTGTTAGTAGCATCAGGCATAACCAAAAGTTAGTCCATATTGTGAACAGTCAGGAAGTAAAACAAACCTACACACATTCAATGAGCACCTGCTTCACATGCAGAAGGCTGTGGGTTCAGTCGCGAGCATCTCTACCTAGGGCTGGGAGAGTGCAGGCAGTTTTGAACTAGATGACCCAGTGGTCAGACTCTGTATAAGGCAGCTTCCGACTACCACACCATCTGTAAGTGTGCATTCCTGTTGAAGGCAGTATCTAGAACTATCGCCTCTGATTATCCCTGTTAATACACAAGCGTGGGATGATGTATCATGTGGCATTGTAATGCTCTTAACTTACTCCTCTGAAAGTGTTTTCTGACAACTCCCACCAGCCTCCTAAAATCTTAAAAGAGTTACTGGTAAATGTCAAATGATGGTGAGTTTTTGACACTTGCCGGAGCATACTCAATAAAGAGGAAGTACTTGGGGGGGCTTTCTGTTGGCCCTTACCCCCAGTGGTGTTTGGCTGGATGCAGCAGGACTGAGAACATGGCCATCTGAGTTGGCTGTGGGGACAGCAGCATGGCTGAGAGCTCTTGCTGCAGTTGCTTTCATTAATGTTACAGACCAATTAACTGTGTAATTAGCCGAGATCCCCAAAGAGCTGCTGCTGCTCTGATTACAGTGAAGGAGAGTTGAAGCCTTGCCCTTTAACTGAAGAAGTTTGATCTTAGAGGACTGCGGGGTTTGGTGGCCAGCAGAGCAAAGGCGTTTTGCATGTACTGATTTAACCTTGAGGTTTGGAATGAAATCCACCTACGCAAGGCCCATGGTGGAAACCTGACTCTTTATGGCCTCTGTGAATGTTGTGGTTGCTAGTGTGCCAGTTTCTAGCCCCTCTCCTCTCTGCCCAGGTGCCCAGCAGAGTGCCACAGTGCCCATCCCTGTGCCTGGCTCTTCCTCCGACCTGCTCCCTCACTTCCTGCTGGAACCGGAGGATGTTTACATTGTCAAGAACAAACCGGTGACACTGGCCTGCAAGGCCACGCCTGCCACCCAGATCTACTTCAAGTGCAATGGCGAGTGGGTGCATCAGGGCGACCACATCATACAGCGCAGCATGAACAAAACCACGGGTGAGTGCTGGAAGGGGTGGGGCATCAAAGGGCAGCAGAGGAGTCTTGTTTTGATGGCTGCAGGGCCAACACTCAGCTCCTGTCCCACTGCTGACCTGGAGTTAGGAGGCCTCATATTTATACTGTTAGCATAGCTTTTGTGCTTCTTTGGCTGCTGTGGTCGCCTGAGATTTCACCATTACATTTTAAAGTTTTTTAGAGATTTCTCACATGCTTCTGAGCATATATTTGCAACAATCAGAGCCAGAGACATGTTTGGGTCCCCCTCCACACACTTTTCTCATGATACTTGAGGTTCTCTGTAAACTGAACACAGCAGCATTCTGCACACTTACTGCACTTCCACAGAATTGTGACACCCATTCATGTAGAGCTCCTCCACCCACTGATGTCCCCCCCCTTCCCTGCTTTCCACCCTTGTCTCTTTGCCCCCTGGTGTTTTGGCAGGCCTGCCCCTCATGGAAGTGCGGATCGACATCTCACGGCAACAGGTGGAGAAGATCTTTGGCTTGGAAGAGTACTGGTGCCAGTGTGTCGCCTGGAGCACGTCTGGCACCACCAAGAGTCAAAAGGCCTACGTGCGCATTGCTTGTGAGTGGCGCCCTGCTTACCCTCCTGTCTGCTGAGGGGACCCCTCTAGGACTTCAAACCACCCATCTTCCCTCTCCTAGAGCCTCATTGTCATTCCCCCCACCTACAGCTGAAAATCAAAGCCTGTTCTTTCATGTCTGAATCAACTACGATCAATTGGCTGCTCATGTTGGCAGGGAGCAGACAAGGCTGTGGCCTAGTATGACCTGGGGGGTCTTCGATGTCATCTTGACACCGCTCTAAGCCTCTCTTCTTTCTAGATCTGCGAAAGAATTTCGAGCAGGAGCCCCTGGCCAAAGAGGTCTCCATTGAGCAGGGAATTGTGCTGCCTTGCCGCCCTCCAGAGGGGATCCCACCAGCTGAAGTGAGTACTGGACCTGCATGCTTAATCCTGGGCAGAACTGAGGGGGCCATTGGGGAGAACGGTTGAGGAAGCCCACCAGTAGCACAAAACCAAACCAAACCACTTCATGGGGACCACCCGACGTTGGAACCCGCATCTCCCCAGCGTTGGCTTTGCCACCCTGCAGTTCCTGCAGACGATCTAGGTTGGGTTCGTGGTAGCCCATTCGCCCTCACCCTCATTGCAGCCACTTGATTGACGCCGGCCTGTCTCTCTGCAGAGCTCATTAACGCACATTTCGGAGCCTCCCTGGGCTGCCCTGGTGCTGAGTGGCCTGTCAATCTCTGTCCCTCACTAGGTCAGTGCCAGAATGTGTTTTCTTCTGAGACACGTTGCAGTCGCAGTGTCCTTAAAGGCTACGCGGCCTGACCCAATCCTCCTGCCCTATGTGTGGCTTGTGTCTCCCCAAGGTCGAGTGGCTGCACAACGAAGACCTTGTGGACCCAGCACTGGACCCCAACTTCTACATCACGCTGGAGCACAGCCTGGTGGTGAAACAGGCCCGCCTGGCGGACACGGGCAACTATACCTGCGTGGCCAAAAACATTGTGGCTCGTCGCCGCAGCTCCCCTGCTGCTGTCACTGTCTATGGTAGGGCCCCACCAGGCGATGGGATGGGTGGTCCCCAGGAAAAGGGGACCAATGGGCGAACAGCAGGTCTCTCCATAAGTCTTCAGGGTTGGGGGCAAGGGCAGGAATCTGGTTTCTTTGGAGGCTTGGCTGTAGCTCAGAGGGGAAGGTGGAGCAGTGACAGGGCCGGCTCTACCATTAGGCAGAGTGAGGGAGCTGTCTCAGGTGGCAGATGCTGGTGCAGAGGTGGGGAGTGGCAGCCTGGTGTTAGGGAACAAAGCTGGGTGTGCCTCTAAGATCACTTGCTGCCCTCAGATGGGGTGGGGGATGCCAGCCCACTGCCAGCACTGAAGGAAGATTTGAACTGCCGGAGCCAGCCAGCTTTCGTAAAAGGAAAGGGGAAGAGTTGTGTGGAGGCCAGCTTGTCCTTCCCTTTGGGCAGCACCATTTCTTGGGCTGGCCCAACTGTTTTGGGGTGTGATGAAGAGGGGACTTTGCTAAGTACATGCACCTCAAAATGGAGGAAATATCCATCCTGGAGGGAGAGAGGGGGTGGAGCCAGGGTGGGGGAGCCAGGCTGTGTCAACGCGACGTCGAGAAAGCGATGTTCTTGCAGAATCTCACAGGAGAAAGCGGCATGACCCCCCACCCCCTCCTCCAAGTGTCCGCCCCTCTGCTTGTGACTCCTCCTGCATCCCCCCATGTTTTCCTGTGTATTCTCCCCAAGCTGTACACACATACCAAAAGCAAGAGGGAAGCTGGCACCCCAGAGCCGCCGTTTTGCCCCAGGAGAACCCTGGAAGCGCTCGGCTCCTTCTCTGGGCCCAGAGAGAGAGCCCCACCTCCCTCCCTGCTGCCAACGACTGGCCCTCCCAGGGCGCACCGTCGTTGGGAGCTCTAGCTGATGCTGTCCCTTCCCCCCAGTGAATGGCGGCTGGTCGACGTGGACGGACTGGTCAGCCTGCAGCACCAGCTGTGGACGGGGCTGGCAGAAGCGGAGCCGGAGCTGCACCAACCCAGCACCACTCAACGGGGGGGCCTTCTGTGAGGGCCAGAATGTGCAGAAAAGTTCTTGCGCCACCCTGTGCCCAGGTACTGCCCTGCCACTGCTGCGCACCTGCTCCGGCGGCTCTGTTTTGCTGTGCTCACTCGCACCCTCGGCCCCTGCCCCACCACCCACAGCAGCGGGGAAAGACTCAAAATCTAACACATAGGAAGCCCAGAGCAGGCTGAGCCACACACGTCTCCCACTCTCAGTCCACTCTAAGCCCCCCTTTTTCTGTTTCAGCCCAGAGTTCGCTGCTCACACAGCTTTGCCTATGCACTATCCCATCACTGTTTGGTTGCCCCTTCCTTTCCCCAAAGTGACCCAGAATGGTGCTGCATGTTCCTGGGACTTGTTTTTTTCATTGCCTTCAGCTCTGTTTGAGCTACTGGTCCCAAGAGAGCAGCTGGCCTTTGCCTCGCCTTCCCCTCTTTGCTCTACCTGTCTTCCCCAACCTATCCATGTGTCTGTGTTTGTCCCTTCCCATCTCTGAGCCCCTTCCAAGGCATGTTACAAATATGGGAGGGCCCCCCTTGCCCCATTAGGAGTGGCTTCTGTGGTGGCCAGCAATGGGTCAGCCCTGAGCTACTTCAGCCCGGTCCCTCCTCTCTGTAGCTGACATCGCCTAACGGTGTCCTCTCGACCCACCAAGCTGCTGCAGGCATCCGGCTAGTGAGATATCTGCTTGGGCTTGGAGGGGTGGGGAGGTAGAATTTATGCTGAGGATGAGAAACCATTTGAGAATTGGGATTTTGGTCCCTAAGCCTCTGTACTGCCTCCTCCTGTCTGGCAGTGCCTGGCGGTTGGTCAACCTGGAGCATGTGGTCAGTGTGTGGTGCAGACTGTACACACTGGCGAAGCCGTGAATGCTCGGATCCGGCGCCCCGGAATGGGGGGGACGAGTGCCAGGGGCCTGAACTGGAGACCCGCAACTGCACCAGCGAGTTATGCACTCACGGTGAGTTCCTGCTGCTTTTGGGGAAATATAAGACTCATGCCGTGGGTGGAGATGGAGGGGAGAGGTGCAGGTGGTGGCATGAATTTGACGAGCATCTTCTGGCACAGGTGTGCCTCTCCGGGGTGGCTATGGACATAGGCAACTGGTGCTGCCTCCTGTTGCGTAGCTTTTTTTGAGCGACCTTCCGTTGCAGGCTGATTGAGATGTAAGGGCATTGAGGCCTGTCAGTTCTGGTCTGCCTATCTGTCCGCATAGGAACTAGCAGCCGTCTGCCCAGCACAGATGGAATCTCTGCTGCCTGGTTTAGCGTTGCCTCATAGCCACAGGCTAGAAGGCAGAAACCCACCTTGTCAGCGGCACCCCCTGGCCCATGCGTCCCGCCACAGGCTCCGTCCCTTAATGAGGAGGCCCCAGAGCTCTCTCCTGAAAGATCACAACTGGTGCGCACTGGCCCAGCAAGCAGGCTGTGTGCCACCCCCACCCCAAGGCAGGAGAGCTCTGCGCTGGCCCTGCCAGGGCGGAAGAGTGAGTGACAGGCCCCATCCTGGCTCATTAACTGTTCTAGCTTGTTAGGCCTCCTAGGGGTTTTCTCTTCCTTTTACATCAAATTAACCATTCTCACAGCTGAAATGAAGCAATGGCCCCCTGCCCTCCCCAGGGGGACTCAGGCTGACGGTTTGACCCAGCTGGCAGTGGGGGTGGGGAGGAGGTGCGTGAGGGATTCAGAGGGACAGCAGGGCAAAGTGCTGGTTCACCACACACACACACACACACACACACACACACAAAACCTGGTTCATTTCTTCATTCTTCCTCCCTTACATACAATTCCCTGTACATATGTTGCCTCATAAACCAGACTAATGTGTGTGTGCTTGCTTCCGTTAACACAGAAGCCTTGTTTGTTCTCCCTCACACACCCACACCCGGCCTGCATTCTTTCTTTCCCCCCTTCCCCCTCCAACCCCCACCAACCTGCCTTCTTCTGTACAGAGGCTTCATACAAAGGACAACACACACTCACACTCTCCTGCACAGCTGGGATTTTGGCCATGGAGCTTTGAAGGTTTCTACTTACTCAACCTTCAGAGATCATAAGCAAGATCCCAATTCTCCCAATTAAAGACTGTCTGCCTTTACTTAGAAATTATGAGACAGGAGCAGAAGGGCTCCTTTCAACCCAGGCTGCAGCCTTACTAACCTTGCCCAAACCAGCCTCTGCCACAAAACTTTTCCTGCAGAAGCACCCTTTGTGGAAGGCTGCGTCTAGTCCTCCCGTACACCACATTTCAGATCCCCTTCTGAATTATTATTTCTGCAAACATAAAGATTTTTAGATAACACACTGGTTCGACAGACAGGGTTATTGTTCTTATGAACAATTAAATGGGCTTGTGTCCCAGGCACAATCTCACACTTACGAGACCCCTTTTCTGTTTCAGTCCTGGGTTCACCATTCACCCAGCTTTGCCTGTGCCTCAGCACCCACTGTTCCCCAAAGCAGCCCTTTTCTTTGATAACATGCTGGTAACATGGCTGTAGTTATTATAAAAGGGAACCACAACAGATGCTCATAAAATACGCTGCTTGTTTTGAATGTCATCTTGCATTTATCTAAAAAATGCGTTGAGAATCTTATCCTGCCACCACCACCCTGCCTAATTCAGACCCCTGATTCCCAAAGGAATCTCTCATGCTTTCCACCCATTCCTCTCCAATTTGGATTTTGCATCATTTTTAAAACCGGGACTTGAAGAAGGCTATGAGTTCAATACTCTGTTCAAAAAGGAGGAGGTTGGAAATGTGCCTTTGCACTGAAGGACAGGGAAAGGGCAGGGGTTTGGGGTGGGTTTTTTTAAGGGACCACAGGTTTTGATTATCAATTCCTTGATGGCCCTCATTGCAAGAAGGCCAATGACATTTCATTCAGTGTCTCTTCCTTCCCTAGAGACATTGGCGGACTTCCATAGATACTTGCGCACCATGCAATTATGAGCGGTGCACTCCTTCTCCAGAAAGGAACGCCATTATTTTATACAGGGCAACAACTGGCTCAGAATTGCACACCTCTCTGTTCTCCTGCTTCTCCTTTTAGGAACGAATGGCTCTGAGGATGTGGCTCTGTATGTGGGCCTGATTGCTGTCGCTGTCTGCCTGGTGCTGCTGCTCCTAGTGGTAACCCTTGTCTACTGCCGCAAGAAGGAAGGGCTGGATTCTGACGTGGCTGATTCTTCTATTCTCACTGCTGGCTTCCAGCCGGTCAGCATCAAACCAACCAAAGCAGGTGAGCACCACGCCAATTTTGGGGCATGCCGGGGATTTTGGGAGTCCTTTGCATTGAGTGCAAGCAGCCTTCCTGGAGCCATAGTCAGCTGCCAGGTCTCGATGTGGGGACGGTGCTTGTCTCTTCTACAACTGCAGAACGGTTAGGTAAGATACAGCCACAGTGTGTCTTGTAGCAAAATAGGGTGGTGCCCGCCATTTTAAGAGTCCCGTGACTACTGTGCCAACTCTTAATGTGCTCTTCGGGTTTCCTCCCCTACTCTGTTTCTCCTTCCTGCTGTCACAAGGGCTACAAAAATAAATAAATACGAAATGGTAGTATTCAACAAACTTCACGTACTAGCTCAAGGGGATTTCCCATCCCTCTATTCCATCTGCACTATTCTCAGATTTATTCCAGAGGGTTGGGGGAAAACCCAGAACAGATTTAGAGGGAGGGGGAGAATGTTTTGTCGCACACACACACACAAATAATTTGACTGAGAGAACATTCATTGTAGTGCTACGTTGAACAAAAACCACAGATCTTAAAAGCACAATGGAACCTGGTGACAACTAGAAACAGTGGTTTAAAGAGTTTCGTTGTTTAAAAAATGGCTTCCTGGAATGAGCTCAGAATAAGCTCAGCTGGTTAGAGCGTGGTGCTAATAACACCAAGACTGCAGGTTCTGTCCCTGTAAGGGACAACTGCATATTCCTGCATTGCAGGGGATTGGACTATATATGACCCTCAGGATCCATCCCAACTCTATGATTCAATTCAAGTCAAGTGAGCAAATGGGAAAATTTATGATAACAGAAGACTAAAACTGTTTAAACACCTGAAGGCTTCCTACAGTAGGCAGCGTAAGCAGAGGATATCTGCAGAGGACTACGTGGGAAAAACCACAGACCCAATAAACACACCAAAAATCTCTTACAAAATAATTATAGCCAGAGACTCACCTCTAGCCATGCATCTCAACACTACTAAGCATTGCCTTTGCTAAAGAAAGATGCAACACCAGAGGGTTAGAAACAGGCCATCTGCATATTTTGTGAGAACCTGCTAATTACCCTTTCCAGTTGCAAGGCCCTAATGCTTCCTGCCAGCCCTCACTGGACTACAGGACACCAACCAGTAAGGGCATCCCAGCACTGGTCAGAACAGGAGCATGTAACAGGAAGGGTTTTCTAATCATCCCACCCCCAGCTCATCTGCCAGGCATTCTTCAAGTATTTCTGAACTAGTTAATTAAAGTTGGTTCCCCACTAATCAAGAAAAATGAACTTCTAGAGGAAAAGTAGTTGCTGGAATAGAAGATTCAAGACCTTGCTGGCACATCTCTGTCACAATGACTGTCACACCCCCAGAAAGTTAAAAATGTAGGATACCTATTATGTAATGTAGAGGAAGTCAGTAAAATCAAATGGCCTTGAAGTCATCATAGGTATAGTAAAATGACACTTGTGGATAAGCACATCTTTCATCCTAACCACCCCCTTTCTGTCATTTTGGAACCGGTTTACAAAGACCCATTAGCCTGGCTGGCAAAGCCATGGCCCAAAGGTTTTAGGCCCTAAAACAGACCATGGTTTATTTTGAACACAGGGCCATGGTCTAAAATGGCTGATCATGAATGAGCAGAGTGCTAGTGTGTGCTTCTCTTCCTGCTTGCCCCCTTCCTTCCATGTGCTGCTTAGGAGCTGAAAGAAACCAGATCCCTGGCCTCATATTGCATGCAAACCAGCACTTGTGGTTTTGTTTTTCTCCAAACAAACCATGAGCAGTAACCAATGTTTTTTCATAGCTTACTGTTTGTGGTTTGCTGGGAGGGAAACAAACCACAACTGTTAATTTGCATGTAAGACTAAGCCAGTGCTCTGGTTTATTTCTACTGCAAGGCAGCCCAGGGAGGAGAGAGGCAGGCACAAAGAGCAAGGGCTGGTCTGTTTTAAACAATAGCTTCACATACATGTGGACTGGGTCATTTATGAGCATCTAGGTGTGGGCGGAAGAAGTATCCTACCATCATTCCATCAGCCACTTAACTTTCTCATCACCTCATGATGCGATCTTTGGCCTTTGAGGCTCACCTCTTTGCACCCTGACAAGTGGTGGGGTGTTAAAACGACAACTGTGTCATGCGGCCATCTCCCTTAGTCATTCTGCATTTGGATATCCTGCCCGGATGGGTTGTGTGAATTAGCCCAGACTCCTGGGCTCTGCAAGGGAGACTGTACTGCATCTTTAGGAAGCTGTCTCTGGGAAATAAAATGCATAACCTTATTAATACAAAAAGTGATGGTTTGAACAGGGATCTTTGTTTCTCGGGTCATTGCAGCAGTCTGTTACCCCTGCTGGTTAATGTATTTTGTGCAACATTGTCTGATGAGATGATGTTTTGTGATTAGGCTGCTATCTACCTGAGGTGACTGAAAATATCTGCATTTGCATCTGTAAGCAATATAGGTCTGTATATAGTGCTAAGAATGAACTCTCTTTTCCATTCTGCCTAGAGAAGATCTTTCAATACGTTCAAACAGCACATGTACTTTGACTGGCCCAGTTTGTTGGGTTATTTACATAAATTTCTCTCCTTCTTTGCAGATAACTCCCACTTGCTTACTATCCAGCCTGACCTGAGCACCACCACCATGACCTACCAGGGCTCGCTCTGCCCACGCCAGGATGGACCCAGCAAGTTCCAGATTGGCAATGGGCACCTGCTGAGCCCCCTGGGCAGCGGGCGCCACACCCTGCACCACAGCTCACCCAGTGCGGACCCTGTGGACTTTGTCTCTCGGTTCTCCACCCAGAGCTTCTTCCGCTCCTTGCCCAGGGGTGGTGCCAACATGGCTTATGGAACCTTCAACTTCCTGGGTGGACGTTTAATGATCCCCAACACAGGTGAGATGGGCGGAGAAGGAAGGCTGGGGATTTGGGAGGCTGAGCTAGGTAGGGAAATGTGTAGGTGCTTTATGATGCTCGTAGTTCCCTTCTGGACCAGCATTCAAGCATACACATGCAAGAGACAGAGGCTTCCTGTTTGGCCTGTATAGGAATACGATAAGTGATCGTTTTGTGGATAAATTCCAGATATAAACCGCATATACCATTTCCCCACTTTACGGGGAATGATGCCCAAAGGTCAGCTTGCCCAAGAGAACATGGAATGTTTCTTTCAAGCCTGGACCCATAGGAAGGTCTGACAAGGGCTAGTCCACCCACAAGGCGACTGCCCCTGGTGTCAGGATTCACCGGGGCAGCAGTTCCTGATGTTAATCTTCCCCCCTTGTTCCTGGAGCTGGCTCTTCCCTCACATCTTCTTCTCTGTTGGGGAGCAGGACATCATTTTGGGGTCTGCCTAAGGTGCAAAAATGTCTTGGGCCATCCATGGACACTGTATATTGCATCCCCTTGAGCAATAATGTCTGTGTCCTTTAGGTGTCAGCTTGCTCATCCCACCTGATGCCATCCCGCGAGGAAAGATCTATGAAATCTACCTGACGCTGCACAAGCAGGAAGATGTGAGGTACCCCTCTTACCCTTGAAATCCTTCAACTACCCCGTTAGTGGTCAGTGGGACCCCTAATTTCTCATATACCAATTTGACTCCAGTCCACTGTATGCCTGCCCCGTATGTTCACCCATCACCTGTGGCACATAAGGGCTCTCCTACAGGTACCTGTAGAATCCACAGGGAGTTCTTGGACAACTGCATCCCTGTAGACCTTGTCATGCAGATGGGCTGCAGAAATTTGCCTCCACTCATGAGGTGGAGGGAGCAGCATGAATTGAACGTCACTGTGGAAGGTCAGCTACAGCATCCAGGAAGGAAACAAAGTCTTGACATACACATTACTCCTCTTGCTGGGAAATTCTCAGTGTATCCCTTCAAGATACACAACTCCAGATTATCCCATTTGGCATTTCTATCTCTTACCAGGCACACACTTGCCTGAAGGAAACAAAACTGATTGGAAATAGGCAATAGGACTCATCTACTTGTTCTACATGTACAGAGGCTACAGGGCCAGCAGCACCCCAATCCTGAGCATTTTACATCAAAGCTCTAGTAATATCAGTCTAGCGCTTCCCACGTCATGCTCGTAAGACTGAACTATATAATCAACAGAGATCACCCGCCATTTCTAGGCAGATTTCTCTGTTGCAATCTTAACTACATCCTAAAATGCTACCAAGCATGTTTCTGATTTAATGTTTTTGTGCTGGCCCTTGACAGCCCACTCTTGCCTGCATCCCTCTGCTCACAGCTGCATCAACAGCAAATGGAGAAAGCATGCTTCTGTCATGGCACATTTAGTGTCAAGAATCCCTTTGGTGCTGGTTGAGGATTGAGGTGGGAGATTTGATTAGGACATCTAAAGCGACCTGGCCTGGAGCATGAAGGATAAGTCATGTTAGCTAAGCGGGTGAGATCTGCCAGCCAGAAAGGACCTTGCCAGGCTGCTCAATGGAGCATCACCCTCTGGCTAGTCATCCTCTAAGGAACTTGACTGCTGCACACTTGTACAATTCCCGCCCCCGCCCTGTCCCTGCTCCCTTCCAAAGAAGGATACCTAATGCAACTTATTCGTCGTGGATATATTCTCAGAAACGTTTTTGGAGTTCCCACTTTGCAGATAGCGCCAATAACAGCTGTCTGCCATAACTGAGGCATTTCCACTTTTTCCATGAGCCTTATGCCAATTCACACAGAGTCCCACCTAGCTCAGCACTGACTACACTGATGGGCAGCAGTTCTCCAGGATCTTCCTAGATTACCCAAAGATGCCAGGGATTGAACCTGGGACTTTCTGCAAACAGACGCTGTGCTATTGAGCCATGATCCTTCCCCATTCCCTTATGTCAGCATCCATTTCCGATGCACATACTGAAGACTGCCAGCTCCAATCCTCTGCTTGGATTGCCAGTAGTACATGCTGGCTATAACCCCACCCAATTTCTCCATTCTGCTTCCACCGCGCAGTGGTGAGAATGCAGATCCTGTTTGCTTTCTGTGCCCATTGGAATGATAACCAAGGGAAACTAGCTAATGGCAATAGCCAGAAGCGTCTGTGCCTGGCTTTGTATGCCCCTTCTCTTTCCAACTCATGGTTTTCTCTCTTTTTTGAGGCTGCCCCTGGCTGGCTGTCAGACCCTGCTGAGTCCCATTGTCAGCTGTGGGCCCCCAGGGGTGCTGCTCACCAGACCTGTCATCCTAGCTATGGACCACTGTGTGGAGCCAAACCCAGAGACCTGGAGTCTCCGCCTCAAGAAGCAGTCGTGTGAGGGCACATGGGAGGTGAGTGCTTGGCCTCAGGCAGTCGCAAACCAATCCAAAGGCTTTAAGCAAGGCTGTATTGTACTTTTTGCTTTACAAAACAAAGAACCTTCCGGGCCAAAGTAACCTAAATTCTGAAACCTGCTTAAATTATGCAAATCACTCATATTGTTCATTTTTTATTTTTTTCTGCTTGCTTTGCAAACTCTATACTGTTTCTGCTACTTCTGAGAAAGAGGAGGAACTATGTGTGATGCTGAAGTCTCATCCTTGGGAAACAACGGAAGTCTTATTCAGCTATCCCTGTAGCTTTCTCAGGGCTTCGCCGTACACTCTCAAGCATATCTTTGCATCCAAATGTTATAGAAACATGCTTTGTAATATATATATGAAAGCTGGATTCTGCCTCCGGTATTACAATCTTACATTTCCCCCAGAATTGTAGAATATACACTGCCCTATTTTCAACATTAGCAGAATCTGATGGACTGTTTACTGCCCAGCACTGGCACAATTGATTCTGATTTGTGTTCTACAGTAGAAGCTGTGATGGATCCCTCAGACTAGCTGAAGATAGCTCAGTCAGTAGAGCATAAGACTCTCAATCTCAGGGTTGTGGGTTTGAACCCCACGTTGGGCAAACAATTCCTTCATTGCAGGGGGTTGGACTAGATGGCCCATGTAGGTTCCTTCCAACTCTACCGTTCTATGATTCCAGCTTGAATGTAGTGCAAATGTTCCTATATGTGCCTAAAGAGCAACAGTCCTCCTACCATCTCAAGCTCAGTACTTCATCCTTGGTCCTATATACCAGCTGTTTCCTGCTGATATCCCACCCATACAGATTCATTCTCCTTGTGTGTTGGCCAGCCATTCTTGCTTTATTTTTATTTCAGAATTCATAAACTGCTCCAGGTTCAAGGAAATACCCAAGCACTGTACTTCTAGCGTATTAGTCAGCCTTCTCCTTCTGACACCTGTTTGTTTGCCAACAGACCTTTGCAGCTGCTTAATTTTTGATTAGCCGGTCACCTTAATGATTATTTGTTCTTTTAAAATGCAATTTAATTTTTTTAATTGATGCTTTTGCAGTGTACACCACCTTGTACAGTACAGAAATGCTTCTAAAAATAAGCCATAATCTGCACTGGCTCCGTTGTGCTGCTTCTGCGCTCATTGTGCCAATAACTGTTGATCAGGGTGGTTTTTATCTCTCTGCCCACCCCTCCACCGCCTTTCCCGTGTCCTCAGGATGTGCTGCACCTGGGTGAGCCCGTGCCCTCGGAACTCTTCCACTGCCAGCTGGAACCCCAGGCTTGCTACATCTTCACAGAACAACTAGGCCGCTTTGCTTTGGTGGGGGAATCGCTCAGCATGGCGGCTTCAAAGCGCCTCAAATTGGTCCTTTTTGCACCCACTACCTGTACTGGGCTGGAATATGATGTCCGCGTGTATTGCCTCAGCGACACCCGTGATGCACTCAAGGTATTACCCCACAAGGCCAAAATACTGCCCTGGAAATGCCCCAAACATACACACCTTGAGCCTCTTTCCCACAAATTTCACACCTGCTCCAGTCTCAAGAGCCCATTATTTGCTCAAGAATCACGGTTGACCAGCCTTAATGCTCTAGTAGGACAGCCTATGTGTCGCTTCAGCGACACTGACCACATGCCCAGTATGTTGCTCTATAGTTGCAGGGTGTCCAGCCTCACCTAGGCCTCTCCCCTGCCCCACCGTCCAGTGATTTTGTCACAACAACCCAGATCAGTCCCTTGCAACTCCACGCTGCGCCTCCGCAGAAGGCGGGAGGCAGCAGGAAATGGGTGTTGATGGTTCTAGTCACTCAGCCCTTCTTTGCCCATGCAATTCCAGGAAGTGGTACAAGTAGAGAAGCAGATGGGGGGGCAGCTGATTGGCGTGCCACGGATCCTGCACTTCAAGGACAGTTACCACAACCTGCGCCTCTCCATCCATGATGTGCCCAGCTCCCTGTGGAAGAGCAAGCTTCTTGTCAGCTATCAGGCAAGTGTGCCCATGGGCTCTGGGAGTGTTCTGTATCCAGAGTAGGCGCCCTCTTCTCCTGCCTGCTGTCTTCGCGCTATGTCACCTCTCTTTTTCATCTCTTATTTACTGGGATTCAGTGCAAAGCCCCATATCCTCAGGACCGAGAATGCCCCATGTGAAAGATGCTAAGCTCTTATGAAGCTCCATTCCCTAGCTGTAGTTGTGGGGAGGGGGTAGGTATTTATCAATCTGCTTCTATAGTTTGTCTAGTTCCTAATTCTACTGGCAGTTCCTGACATCATGGGCCTGATCGGCATGCTCCTAGGAGCCTCATTCCTTACCACTGAGGAAATCCATACACCCCCAACCCAAGCCTGCTCTCTTTCTCTCTCTCTACAGGAGATTCCCTTCTATCACCTTTGGAGTGGTCTGCAGCCTTACCTGCACTGTACCTTCACGTTGGAGCGACTTAGCACCAGCATTTGCCAGTTGGCTTGCAAAATCTGGATCTGGCAGGTGGAGGGTGATGGGCAGAGCTTCAATATTGACTTCAACATTGCCAAGGTGAGGGCAAGGACATGGCCATGGGAGGGTTGGCCAAATGACTTCTGCGGTACCCTTCTGGGTGGGAACCTATCTAGCTTTTGAACGGGTTTTAAATACTTTATGCGCACTTGCAGTTATTGTGTCGAGGACCGTTTCATAGAGTTCCCATGGAACAGAGTCAAAAGTGGAAATGTAAGGCAGGGCGGCGTCAATAGGTCTTTCCATCCTAACATGAGGATAGAAAACTATCGCAGGCTGGAATAGTGTGCATGTTCAGAAAAAGCATAGAATGGGCCAGTTCGGACATGGCTTTGTAACAAACCATAGTTTATGAAGCCAGGTGGAGTGTTGGCTCTGCATGTCCCCATCCCACTCGCCCTTCCTTCCCTTGCACACAAGCTTTGGTGCAGGGGTTTTAGAACTAGGGCTGCCCATTCCATTTGAAATTGGGGTTTACAATTGTCCCTTTTATTCTTATTGCACCCTGTCCTGGGACTTTTTGTGAAGGGCAAGTAACAGGTATTCATAATAAATAAATATAAAAGTGGGGACTTCTAGTACAGTGTCAGTTTACTAACTAGAATATTAACCAGGGTCAGAGCTTGCTTTAATTATCCTGGTTAACAAACCAACACTGGTCCACCTCCCCATTTGAGATGTTGTTAGGGAACTCTGAAGTTCCAAGATCTGTGCAGCAGCAACACCAACGTGCAATGGGAGGAGGAGAGTGGAAAGGAAGAAGCATGTGGGCCCATTGCTCTGCCATGGCTTATGAGACTACATGTGAAGCAGCCCAGTGTTATGTGAGGTGTGAAATTTAACATCTTAATAACCTTCTTTCAAAAAATCAGGTTTTTTAGTTACTTTAGGGCTGTGAAAGTGTGGCCAGTGATTATTGGAATCTCAGAAGCCAGAGACGTGGCTAACTAGCAATTATGCTCAGTTTCCATAATCTGTAGAAGTCACAGGATCCCATTTTGTCTCAGTGCAAAATACATCCGGCCCTGCGCATCACTGCTCTTTACGTCAACAAAAGCCTCTTTTCCCCCGCAGCACTGAGCCTACCCTTTAACTTTTCGTTCCCCTTCACTCCTCCTTTCCCAGTCAAGCGGGAGATATTCTTTGTGATCTTTAGGTATCCTCCTTCGCTAAACCTGTCAAGTAGACAGAATTACCCTTCTGGGGAATATCTGGGAGAAAATCATATTGTGTCAGGGAGACCTCTCCACCTTACTTAAAGCAGCATCAAACTGAGAGAGAATATAAAGCAGAAACAGCCTTGTCTTCACGGGCACTCTCTCCTCCATTGCCTCCTCTCACCATGAAGACTTTGTTCACCTTATAGGTCCTAATAACTGCTCTCCTTTTCCCAGGATGCACGGTTCTCAGACTGGCTGCCCCCAGACAATGAGGCTGGCTCCCCTGCCCTCGTGGGCCCCAGTGCCTTCAAGATCCCCTTCCTCATCCGCCAGAAGATCATAAGCAGCCTGGATGCACCAGGGGCCCGTGGGGCTGACTGGAGAGCATTAGCCCAGAAACTGCACCTCGACAGGTAAAACTCTCTACCAGGAGAAACAAGCTGCAGCTGGTGCAGATCCTACCAGGTGGATGAATCTTGCTTTAGCAGGAACAGGTGATGAAGGTGGGAGGAGGGGTTTCTGTATGGAGGGCCAGCAGGAACAGATGCAGTCACATTGTTTTTTCCTGTGACATAGTGGGGGCAAGGAAGGAGAGGAAACAAGGGGCTCATCTGGACTTCTTTTTGTGCTGCATTTCTAGGAATGTGTCCCTGTGAAAACCCGCTCTTTACTGCTGAATTGGAGCAAACAGCAATCTGCAGAAATCCCAAATTGCCATTTGTTCCAATTCAGCAGTAAAGAGTGGGGGTTTTGCTGAAGCAAAACAAAAACGCTCAGAGTTTTAAAGAGCAGGCCTGTGCCTAGAAAGGATGGGGCAAAAGGTGTGTGTGAATAAGTGCCCCCTTGGGGCTCTTTCTCCTGGGTAATAATGGCCTCTCCTCTTTCCACAGCCATCTAAGCTTCTTTGCTTCGAAACCCAGCCCAACGGCCATGATGTTGAACTTATGGGAAGCCCGTCACTTCCCCAACGGGAACCTCAACCAGCTGGCGGCTGCTGTGGCGGAGGTGGGCAAGCAGGACAGCTCCCTCTTCATGGTGTCGGAGGCTGAGTGCTAAGGCACTTGGTAGAGGCAGCACAGGCCTTTGCTGGGGGATGGCAGAGGGCATCTCCGCTTGAAGGAGGCAGTGTTCCCACACTTGTCCTGCTTTGAATACGCCTGCGTGCTCCGTCCGAGGCATCCTAGCCTCACGCCCTCTGTTCCTTGTGCCAAATACAACTAGAAGGCAAGCACACCGGGCTCAGTCTCTAGTAGCCATGGGGTGGTGGGGGAAACTACTGAATGCCTGCCCTGCCACTGCCATGGAGGCTCTGGGACTGGCCGAGGGAGGCTTGCCCCATATACTGCAGTAGGCTGGCAATGGATTCTGATGTACTTCTGTTGGGCTTAGTCATATACCCAGGGCCCTCTTCTTCCCCAGCATGGGAAGAAAGGGGAAGGGAGATGGCTGGCTTGGTGCTTGTGGGGAGTGACCAGGACAAAAAGGTAAGCTTGGTCCTGGAGCCGAGAAGCCTGTGCCTCTCCCACTGCAGCCCCCGGAGCGTCCCATGCTGCGATGAAGCAGAGCCGGGAGGGGGGATCCAACAGGTTGTTTCCAGAGCCATCTCTGTATATTTTTGCTCCAGCCCAAGAGATACCCGTGACTTGGTCATAGTGGGCCGCCCAGGGGGACAAGGAGAGGAGATGGTCAAGGGCAGCCCAGGGAGGTGGACCATGCTGTGCTGGATGACAGGATCTATGCCTCCTTAGTCCTTGCCCAGTGTATATGCAAAGGGAATTGTGCGTGTGCGTGGCAGTCCAATCCGTGCAGTGAACGTGTGCTGGGCCAGGCGGGCCCATGCCGTATTGTGTAAAGATCGTTTTTTATTCTGTATTCAAGTGCATTCAAGTATTTACACTTGGCCTTATGTACATATAAGCGTCCCGCACAGGGTTTTAGCGGGCATGAATGTAAATAAATTATATATATATATTGCTACATGGGACTTCTTGTGTCTGTACTCAACACTAGGCCAATGGAAGCATTGCCAGATCTGGAAAAAAGCAGAGAGAGTCCAAAGTCTCAGCAGAGCTTTCTTGACAGCTTAGTAGGTGTAGAAATGTCCAGGGTTATTAAGAAGGCACCTCCATTTTAGCACTCTCAGTCTGTGTTATCTTTGGGCTTGGCTTGTTGGGAAAAAATATATATAACTTGGAAAACCAAGTGGCAGCAGGAATTTGTTTTATTGTTTTCCTCGCTTGAACATGAATCAGAGATGGTAAAGAGAGTTATAAAGATGGAACACCGCTGCTGACACAACTTGCCTTTCCTGCAGTTTGGCCACAGAGGAGGGTGGAACACATTGCTGTGGGTCAAGGTCTGGACATTGTAGAGAATGGCTTGGTGTCCTGGTTACTGGGACATTTTTATTCAAGTCAAGTGGATGGTTTGGTTATTTATGGGCCACAGCAGCAATCAGTGCAGCCCCCTTCCCTGAACCATCCTCTGACAGCAAGAACTTGACGTTGCAGTTTGGAGCTATCAGAGCCGTCGTCTTATGAAGCTTTGTTGCAAAGCTGAGAACAGAAAGGGAGCATGTCCGTGAGCAAGAGAAAGCAATGTTCAGCCAGCATCACACCCTCCCCTGGTTACATGGTTCTTGGACATACGTTATTGCAGCTTTCCCCTCTTTCCCTAACCCAAAACAGGGGCAGCATTCAACTTTTCTAGGCAGGTGCTGCAGAACCCCATACTCCAAAGAAAACCAGGTACTACCCATACAGCCATACCGCAGCTTAGGAAGAACCACCCTTTACCATGCACTGTGTCTCCCAATAAGTACTAAGGTCCTCCAGCCTAGCATGGATCAGTAATGGCCGAGTCTCTCCCCATGCATCAAAACACAATTGTTGTCATCTCTGCCCAACCTAGTCTTGCCATCCAATGGGCAACTGAAGTTTCCATTCCCCTCTTTGCACTCTGTTGGGTTGAGGCCTTGCCTGCCCCGCATTTTAATGAAGCAAAACTGACTCACTAAGGATGCATCTTGTAGAGTGTCCCATCCACACCAACTGTTATATCCAGCTTTGACACACGGCGGTTCTCTCGAATCTTCTCCACAACTGCAGATATTCCCACTGCACACATCTTAGCGGCACGTGACGACACGGCACGGCACACATCCTTTACCACCAAGGCATCCTCCGTAGATACACTCAAGCCATATTCTTCCAGAATGTTACACACGTAATGGTGACCAGGAGTGCTGCTTACAGAACATTATAATCAGCGGTGGAACTGCTTGAGGCACCTATTATATTCAACAAGAGCTGTTGCCCTCTTAGAAGCTAAGCATTTCTAGTCTCTCAGTATTTGCAGGTGGGATTCAATCACAAACTGGCAAATTCAGGCTGCACAATTTAACTTGATTTGGCGTTCTTGCACAACAAACCAGCTTCAATCCCAAATCAGTTTTGTTTTTGCAATATGGAAAGTGGGAGATTGCCTGGTGCAATGTTGTATAACTTCCCCACGAATAAAAACGGATCTAACCTCCCCACAAACTTTGTGCAAACAAATCATTATGGATGCTGTATAAACAGGTGGTCTGGAAGCAACCACATTCATCCTGAAAGAACCCATTGTTCCCCAAAGGGTTCATGCGGCAGATCATGAAGGTTTTCACATTCCAAAAAGGGGGGAGGAGGGGGAATCCAGGCAATGCCAAATTACTGAGAATTCTGCATCAGCAAGACTAAAGCTTGGTGCTCAGAATGTATTATTGAAATAAATACAATATCTAAAAATTGGCTTGCTTTCCATAAAATCATTTAAGTATGCATGCTTGCAATATAATCTGGGGCAAGGGGTACTCGCTTGTCAGAAGGTGATCCAAGACTAGGTAAGGTGAAGTTAAGAATGAGGGGTGGACAGATAACCAAGTAGGACTTAGAGACACCTTGAACAATCGAGTCTTTTACAGGTAAAGACCAAAAGTAGCCTCAGGAATTTGATTTCTGCACCAAACCTAAATTCTACATGAAATGAGAATGTTACGGATACACACTTACTCCTCAACATTTGTTAGGAATTTGGTGGGGAAGATGTTTTTGGTCTTGAGTACTTCTGATGGGCGACCCCTGAAGATGACCTTGCGCATTGTTAGCTCCAGCAGAATATAGCGCACAATCTCGCCCAAGTACATGCCACTGATGAGCTTTTCATACCTTTAGGGGAGATGGAAATGAGTGTCACACAAGGAGACCCTGGAGGCGGCCATCACCCCAGATCACTCCCAGGTATCCAGACTCACCTTTGCTGGCCAGCATTGATGGATTCTGCATCCACTTTCTCATCAAACTGTGTTATGTAGTGCTCGAGGCAGCCATTGTCTCCAAAGGCCCCCCATTCCATATTGATACACATTCTGCCCTCGTCCCCCTCCACAGTGCCCACATTCCTCATCTCCTCCATGTAGCAGGCATTGGTACCCGTACCTGAGAGAAAGGGATGGAAATGAATCACTGATGAAAATGGACTGTCATATTTCTCCCTGCTCTGAGCAAGGAAAGTATTGGGATCAAGCCTGGAGGAAGAACCATCAGCCCACTTGGCGGTCCATTCCAAATGTCAAAATTACAGAGAAAGGTTTACCTGTCAGGGAGCAACCCAGATTCTGGTTATAGATCCCCCAAAGAAGGTAATAGTTTCAAGAAGAAGAGTGGAGGAGGGCATCTGCCATTGGAAATATATTCCCTTGGAAATGTATAATCCCCTTGCCCCTAAAAGAAAGATCCCGCTCACCTATTCCCAACCACCCTAGGAATTTTATCAAAGGGCAGAGCAGTATACATTTCTAGAAAATAATAATTAAAATAATGCTGCTGCAACCATCTTACCGACGATGAGGCCAATCTCACAGTTGGGGTCCACATAGGCACATGCCATCATGGTTCCTACAGTGTCATTCACTATGGCAACCACATCTATATCAATGTCCTGGGAAGAGAAAGGGAGGGAGAGACAGAGAGCAGCAAGATGTGTTACCAGGCAACACGATTCCCTATCACCACAGTAACCAGCAGAGACCCATAGGCCCTGTCGCTTGGGAAATAGGCCCCCTCTCCCCGCCCCCCGCCCCTTCTGAAGGCCCCTGGGGGCATTCAACCTGAAGGGAGCTCTCAAGCTCTGTCACTGCCATCGGGCTGGCTTACCGAATGGTTGCTGTTACGCCTTCCACTTTCTCAGTGGGCTACATAGCAAGTGACCCATCATCACAGAGTAGACCTAGGGGTGGGGGTGGGGACTGAGAATATGGAGCACCATAATGCCTTGAACACGCAACACAAACTTCTCGGGCCTGCTTGACATACAAGTTGGTTCGCCTCAGAGCCATTTTGTGCTATGGTCTATGAGCTTTTCAGATGTCCACATGGGTGCAGAACAGCTAGTTTTTGCCAGGAGACAGATGTTAGAAAGCTGGGGATGTTTTTGTGAGTGTGAATTAGCCAGTAAATTGCCTAAATGTCATTGTGATTAGGTCACAGGTTATTTTTCCCTATGGCCCCATCCCTTCAGATCAATGGAACAGATCTAGAGCCGGTGGTTTTAGGAGTGACAGTACAACTGTCAGTTCAAGGTAGCAAGGACCACCCCCCGTAGTGCAATGAAGTATTATGGCATACGACTTAGGCCCAAGCTATCTGAAAGACTATATTCCCTCATATGAAGATGCCCAGGTTATGAGAGCTTTGGGGGAGGCCCTTTTCTTGGTCCCACCACCCTCACAGGCATGCATGGTGGGGATGCAGGAGAAGGCCTTCTTGGTGGCTGCTCCCAGACTTTGGAGCTCCCTCACTAGAGAAGTTAGACTAGCTCTCTCCTTGCTGTCCTACTAGGAAGTGAAGATCCTATTCCAACAGGCTTTAAGAAACTGACTGCTTTTAATTAATTGGGGTTTTGTTTTGTTTTTTTTAATGATGGGAGGCAGTCATTTTCTATGTTTTAAGCTGTTCTTATTTTATCTGTAAGCCACCTTGAGTTCCTGATAGTAGATTTAATAAACCAAGAGGAAGAGGGATCAAGGGGGCACATGATTAAGCATATTGCTGCACACATCTTATTCATATTATAAGTTGCATTAAACAAAAGACAGCATTGGACACTTGAGTTGGAAGGACTGCAACTGCTGAACCAAAGTCTCTCTGAAGTAGTTTTGAAAATAATCCACCTGTTTCATAGATTTTAAAGAGGCAACACTAAAAGCTGCATTTTGGCAGTGTGGAGGAGGTGAATGCACTGATTCTGAGTAGGAATGAATTGTTTTCATTCATTTCATGTTATTTCAGTGAATTTGTAGGGCAGTGCCTCTTTCACACAAAAAAATAAAAGAGCCTCCAACAGGGACTTATATAGAACATCATTAGACAATTGAGCTTACAAATCTTAGCCCACACATCTTTTCTATTACAAACTGGTGTTTCTGAAGCAAAGTGGTGTGTTGGAAGACGGTGCTTAACCCTTTCCAGGCACTGGTCCAGGCATAAAAGCTCTGTGTCTGAGCATTGTTGTTGTCTGCCCTGGAGTTTTCCCAACGAAAACCCGCTCTATAGCACTCAAACAGAGCAAATGTCAGTTTGGGTTTCCTGTAGATTGCTATGTGCTCTTATTGAACTCTAAAAGATGGGTTTTCATGGGGAAGGCACTGGAGCAAAAAAAAAGAGGGGGGCGGGGAAGATGCTTGAACACAGAGCATTAAAGTGTGGGCCATGCCTGGAAAGTGCAGAGGAACGGTAAGTGTGGATATGCCCTTATTGTAGCGACAATTTTCTTGTAAATTGCTTAGAGATTTTACTACAGTGGTGCCCCGCAAGACGAATGCCTCGCAAGACGAAAAACCCGCTAGACGAAAGGGTTTTCCATTTTTGAGTTGCTTCGCAAGACGAATTTCCCTATGGGCTTGCTTCGCAAGACGAAAATGTCTTGCGAGTCTTGCGATTTTTTTCGCTCCCCCCCTTTTTATAAGCCGCTAAGCCGCTAATAGCCTTTTAGCCGCTAAGCCGCTAAGCCTATAATAGCCGCTAAGCCGCTAAACCGCTAATAGCGCTAAGCCGCTAAGCCGCTAATAGGGTTGCTTCGCAAGACGAAAAAACCGCTAGACGAAGAGACTCGCGGAACGGATTATTTTCGTCTTGCGAGGCACCACTGTACTTTGAACTGGTATATAATTTTTGATAAATGATTTTAAAATAGAATTTTAAAAACCCTCCTCCCCATCAGGATTTGGGCTTGAAAGACCAAGGAGAAGTGTGGGTACTTAGGGGTGAGTTGTACACAAGTGCAACTTGTGTCCTTGAACAACAACTTCGCTGATTATGGGGCACATCTGTTAAAGCATTAGCCTCAGCTTCCAGTTTTCTGGCTTTGTGGAGCCTGAGCCAACGTGAGATAGTCTTAACTCTGATTTTAAACCAGCAGGTTTTGTGATAATTTTAAAGACTTTCATTTTGATAAATCAGATTAAGTCTGAATAAAGGTAAAGGTAAGGCCCCTGCCCATACGGGCCAGTCGTGTCCGACTCTGGGGTTGCCCGCCCATCTCGCTTAAGAGGCCGGGGGCCAGCACTGTCCGAAGACACTTCTGGGTCACGTGGCCAGCATGACGAAGCTGCTCTGGCGAGCCTGCACCAGCGCAGCACACGGAAACACCATTTACCTTCCCGCTATAAAGGCGGTACCTATTTATCTACTTGCACTTAGGGGTGCTTTCGAACTGCTAGGTGGGCAGGAGCTGGGACCGAACGACGGGAGCTCACCCCGCCGCGGGGATTCGAACCGCCGACCATGCGATCGGCAAGTCCTAGGCACTGAGATTTTACCCACAGCGCCACCGCGTCCCATACAAGTCTGAATAGTCCAGCCCAAACTATAATCCCTGGCAAATCTATCCAGAGCTCGTGCCCCATATCCCACACATACCGTTTGACGCTTTACAGCCTCTCTTAGCAACTGCACGACATCTTCTCCCACACAGCCTGTGGCACTGAACCCCTTGGTCCATCTCAGCAAGATGCCCTGTGAAACAGAGAAACAAGGAATTGTGATAAACATGTAGGTGCAACTGGACTGCTTTCTCTGAGCTGCTTGCCCTTCACATGTTCATGGATGATTCTACTGTAGCTAAGCTGCAACAGAGAGATGGCAGTAGGAGACATGCAGATAATGCAGGGACCTGCCTCTGCAAAAGTTCTGCAGGTCCTCTAGTTTCTGAGTTTTCTTTAGGCATTGCTCACCCAATCTCAAGTTTATCCTTGCAACAATATGGGCTAGAAACTTGCCAGTGCCAAATTGTGCAGCTTTTCTGCGCTTCCACAGAATTGTAGCATACACACTAGGACAGAGACTGGATCTATTAGAGAGAGATGCCTAACTAGTGGGGGCAGGGGGTTCAACAGGGGTTTTTCACAATGGACAGCTGAATTTCACAATTTAGAAATCCTACAAGCGGAGCTTTCATTTCAAGTTACTTGTAAATGGTTTGAAAGCTATGTTGTTCTCATAGCGTTTGGAAATTTTTCTTTCTATCTTGGGGAACACAAGGTAGTTCAACCCCATTTCTCTCCCTTCCCATCTACCACAAAAATACATTCCCAGCACGTTGCTCCACTGGCTAACCCAGGTAAGGGAGGCAGCAAAGTCCTAATTCCCAGCATCACCACATGAGCAGCAGATCACTTCCATAGGTGCTTCATACCTTGTCCAGGTTCGTCTGACTGCAAGGAAACGAAAAAGTGAAGCCCAGTGGTAGCGTTCGTCCCACAATGCTATGCTTGCTATGGAAATCATTAATGCATTGAACAATGTGATCAAAGAGCTGCAGGAAAATGGGAGAAAGCATAAAGCCTTATGAGGTAAAGACAACTTTGGAGAGGAAACGCCATCACTAACAGTATCGCCCATCCCCACAGTTGCCAGTGTCACAGATTTAAGACCCAGCCAGTCTGTAATAGAGGCCAGTTCACCCAGCCATATCTTCCCCTTTCTTGCACCTACCTCTATTGCATTACTCTGGGCCACTTCGGGTGGAATTGTGTAAGTCTCAGAGACCATGTGTACACCACCCTCTTCTTTGCTTTTCACCTGCACCATAAGCACTCGGAAATTGGTTCCGCCCAGATCCAATGCAAGGAACTCCCCTCTCTCTACAAAATGTATAAGGGACAAGAGCTTGAGTGACATAGACTCTCAACTACAACCCAACACAGTCACTGCAAGGGTCTCCTTCTTTGGCTTCTTTGCCTGAGGCCAACATCATTCCCACCAGTGCTGGCAACTTAAACTATAAAGCCTTGGGAAAGCATCTCACCAGCCCTCTAGAATATTGGTTGTCAACTGAGGGGTCGAGACCCACTGGCACCATACCAACATTTGCTAATAAAAGAAAATGCATATTTGTGCTATAGGCGGGTGCAGGATCTGAAAAGGTTGGAGACTCCCGTTGTTACTAGCAGTGGTTATGCTGCACCCTTCTCAGTGAGATGAACGTAAGTAACAATAACAACAGCCCCATATCAATTAAAAGATTTGGGGGGCCCCCAAAACTCGGAAGGTTTTCTCTGGACCAAACACAACTTCCCTGAGACTTTTTTTAAAAGCCCCCTTGAGCTCTTCAAAGCTCTTCCCTCCCAAGATAAAGGCCATTCCCAAGAGGTTGTTCTCTGGCTCTCACCGGTGCCGTCAGGCAAATGGCGGACGTAAGTGGGCAACATGCGGACGGTGGCTGTACTGTGTGTCTCCTTTGACAGACCCTTCTCCATTTCCTGTCTCATCATGGTCCGCAGTGTGTCCATGTCGGACATAGAAAGTCGGAAAGGCGCCAGGACCTGGGCTACTCCTTCCTGTTGGTGTTTGAGCCTCAATGTCGCAGCTGCTACCCTGGCAGCCCCAAAAACACAGCCATGTTCTGATGTGGCAAAGGTGACAGTGCAATCAGGAGCCAGTGATTTCAATGTTTCTTGCAATATCTGACCATACCTGGAGGGAGAGGAAATGTCAGAGACCTTGAAGCAGGGTGACTGGAAGTAAGCTTTCTGGCCTTTCTGCACCTGTCCCCTAGCTTACTATGCCTTTGCTCCAAAAGGAATGTGAAAATTTGCTGGATGAATGAGTCTTTGGGTCTGTTTACACTATCCACATTTTCTAAAATGGCTGAACTCCCTGAAGTTAACAGCCTCCTAACTTTGGACATGTAACAGACCCCCTAGCCTGGGAAATCCCAGTAACCAATTTGAGAGATTCAGATGGATGGATGGATCCATTTATCTGAGTAGTATAGATGGGTTACTGTCCTGGAAGGAGCTGTTATGGCAAGAGAGAGGATAAAATATGCTGCCTACTGAGTTTCTGGCAACAATGAATAGCTAAGCTGACTTAATGGTTCTCTGGGTTGAAGGAAAATATTTGTATATCTGGAAGAAGACACTGGAAGAAATGCTTTCTTGGCCAGTGATTTCAGTCCAGGAGAAAGCTTGCTCCAATAACCTGCTCATGAAAGGAAGTCAGGGAAAATATGATGGTTAGTCCAGTGGTCCATAGGAAAGTGGGATTGGTGGGTTTCTTGGTTTTGATTTAGATGAGGGGCAGCCAATATGATGCTCTACAGATGTAGCTGGGCTACAGTTCCCATCATCCTTGATCATCGACCATGCTGATGGCCATTATAGTCCAACCATATCTGGAGGTCATCGCACTGGCTACTCACGACATGAACAAATATTTATATGCCTGGTACAACTCCTTACTGTGGTCGGCTCTTGTACATGTCCCCGTCCACAGCCACAATGATTTTCAGGTGTGGCAGCCCTTGACTGATCCGGATATGAGTAAGAACGCCAGCCAGTCCAGCAGCACAGAGCTTGGCAGAACGGACATAGACCGCTTGGCATATTTGCTGCACGTTGAAACAGTCTTGGTTGCTTGCCACCATTCCCAGGCGGACAAGGAAGTTCTTGGTATTGGCCAGGCCAACTTTTTCACTGCAGTTAAAGCATACATGAGTTAAAGCAGGGTGGCAGCAGCAAGAGGCATGAGGGAGACTCTGGTTAACTGTTAATTGATCTCAGCAAAGAATAATATCGATTCCAAATTGAAATCACTGAACTCTCCATCTATAATGAACTAGCACGTGTGTGTGTGTGTGTGTGTGTGTGTGTGCGTGTGTGTGTGTTTAGTTTTGTTTCTACCCATGCTGACTTTTTAGAGACGGACACAAGAACTGTAACAAGATAAATATTTCAGAAAGTGGACGTTGTTAACATCTCGTTGATATTTAAGGTTTTGTTTTTAACGTCTGTTACTTGATTATGCTTTTTTTTATTTTCTTCTTTTATCTGCACTGCTGTACAGGCCCTTCTTACAGCCAAAAAGCATTATCAAAATTGTTTACAAATAAAATAATACCACAAGGGCCATAGCTCAGTAGTATAGCCCTTGTTTTGTATGCAGAAGGGGGCAGGCAGCATGGGAATGCATCTGTTGGTGCTGAATAACGCAGAGTATTAAATGATTGTACTGGGGAAACAAACAGTGACATGTCACATTTACCAGTTCTGATTCTTAGCCTTGCGACACCTTTGCTATTCCCTCTTCCTACCTGATGAGAGATATACTTAATGAATGGCCCACTATAGACACTTTTCTTTAAAGCCTTCTTCTTTTAAGACATCTTACTTGAACAAATATCTCTGGCAGTGTATCTCTGGGTCATCCTACGGTGTACAGTGGTGCCCCGCAAGACGAAATTAATTCATTCCGCAATTTTTGTCGTCTAGCGAATTTTTCATCTTGCGAAGCACGAAATCCCATAGGAACGCATTGAAAATCAATTAATGCGTTCCTATGGTCAAAAAAAGTCCAAACAAAGCCAAATTTGGTACAACAACAGTTTATTAACTGCTCTTTAAAGTCACACATACTGTAAAGAGCAGTTCAAAAATTGAAGGGAAAATAAATTAACTTTATAAACAAAACATGTCTTTGTTTTTAGACAAAGAAAACAAAGTCGCGAGACGTTTTCGTCTTGCGAAGCAAGCCCATAGGGGAAATTCGTCTTGCGAGGCAAATCGAAAACGGAAAAACCTTTCGTCTAGCGAGTTTTTTGTCTTGCGAGGCATTCGTCTTGCGAGGTACCACTGTATTTAAATGTGCAAGTTGATTCAATCATTCATTCATTCACCTGCTTCAGTGTTGTTGTTTTTTATGGGCTACAGATGTAATTATTTATGTGGGTCCATTTCTCTTGGCTGTTTTTCTAGGGCTAGGCTAACAAGGCATGCCAAGACACACTCTGCTGCTACTGAGGATATCAGGTTGACCAGGTCTCCCAAGACGCGTTTGAGGAACTCACTTACTCTATGATGTCCACAATATCTTGGAGCTCCATTTTTCCCTTGGTAAGCAGGGTGGGAGTCAGGACACCGCTGAAGATATCACCTTTCTCAGCCAAAGTAGCCAAAGTAACACGGATAGTATCACACAGATATATGCTACCGACCAACTTCTCAAACCTGCCAGTGAGAAGAAAGAAGAAAATCAGTGCAGAAAGAGAAGGAATTGAAGTGAAAGGGTGGTTGGCAGATAACTGGTCAAGTCACCCTGTCTATAGGAGAAGTCTTGGCCATTTCCTACAATATTTGCTGCTAAGACAGACAATATCATAGGTTGCTTGTTTGTAGACCACCTGTTCTATTGGGTATTCATGCTGACTGCACAAAGTTCACATAAGGTTACACAATGTCAGCATTCATTCAGGACCTATACAGGTATGACCATTCCCAGTGGCTTCATGTCACCCTAATCTCTGAGCAGAGCACGATTCCAAAGGTACCAAGTTTGCTGATCAGGGTCTGTGTTTCCTTTCAGACAACAAGGCACAGCAGAGATGGTGTTTTCTTTATGATATATGGCTTGCTTACACATATATGCAACCTGAACCTGGGATGGAAGGGCTTCGAGCTTTACTCTCCAAGCAGGTTCCATTTCTTCCACGGCTGCCACCTTAGATTCAATCTGTCAACCCACATTGCTCTGACTCCCCACCTTCTCCAGCTTGCAAACACAACCATTTTTCCTCCAGCCTACACCACGCAAACTGCAATCCTACAACTGCTTGCCTTCCTTGACTTTGTATTTCTAACTAATTCTGAGTTGAGAGGGAGGGGGCTTCACCCATTTCCCATCTGGCACAGTCTTAGCTTTGCTGATTGATTTCTTAATGGGTCACCCTTCACCTTTTGCTCTTTCAATGGCCCATCTCTTCAGTGGTGTCCAAACTTTTTCAAAGAGGGCCAGATTTGATGAAGTGAAGGGCCATGGGTGCCGACCAAAGGGCCAACCAAAGTTGTTGACCTTTTTTAAGGTACAGTGGTGCCCCGCAAGACGAACGCCTCGCAAGACGGAAAACCCGCTAGACGAAAGGGTTTTCCGTTTTGGAGGCGCTTCGCAAAACGAATTTCCCTATGGGCTTGCTTCGCAAGACGAAAGCCCATAGGGAAATCTCCGGGGACCTCTTTTAAATGCTAGCGGTGGGGAGCAAAGCCTTTCCCCCCCCCTCCGGCCTTCAGAAGAGGTCCAGGAAGGCTGGCGGGGGCCGAAAGGCTTTGCTCCCCAGCGCCAGCATTTTAAAAGCAGTCCGGGATAGCAGGGAAGCGCTTCCCGCTATCCCGGACGGCTTTTGAAGGCAGGAGAGATCCGCGAAGCCTGGGCGCGCTGATGTCAGCGCGCGCAGGCTTCGGGATGCCGGCAACTCTCCGCCAGCAGCGGGAACGTTCCCGCTGCTTGTGGAGAGATCCGCGAAGCCTGGACGCGCTGATGTCAGCGAGCGCAGGCTTCGGGATGCCGGCAACTCTCCCCAAGCAGCGGGAACGTTCCCGCTGCTTGTGGAGAGATCCGCGAAGCCTGGACGCGCTGAGATCAGCGCGCGCAGGCTTCAGGATGCCGGCAACTCTCCCCAAGCAGCGGGAACGTTCCCGCTGCTTGTGGAGAGATCCGCGAAGCCTGGACGCGCTGATGTCAGCGAGCGCAGGCTTCGGGATGCCGGCAACTCTCCCCAAGCAGCGGGAACGTTCCCGCTGCTTGTGGAGAGATCCGCGAAGCCTGGACGCGCTGATGTCAGCGAGCGCAGGCTTCGGGATGCCGGCAACTCTCCCCAAGCAGCGGGAACGTTCCCGCTGCTTGTGGAGAGATCCGCGAAGCCTGGACGCGCTGATGTCAGCGCGCGCAGGCTTCAGGATGCCGGCAACTCTCCCCAAGCAGCGGGAACGTTCCCGCTGCTTGTGGAGAGATCCGCGAAGCCTGGACGCGCTGAGATCAGCGCGCGCAGGCTTCGGGATGCCGGCAACTCTCCCCAAGCAGCGGGAACGTTCCCGCTGCTTGTGGAGAGATCCGCGAAGCCTGGACGCGCTGATGTCAGCGAGCGCAGGCTTCAGGATGCCGGCAACTCTCCCCAAGCAGCGGGAACGTTCCCGCTGCTTGTGGAGAGATCCGCGAAGCCTGGACGCGCTGAGATCAGCGCGCGCAGGCTTCGGGATGCCGGCAACTCTCCCCAAGCAGCGGGAACGTTCCCGCTGCTTGTGGAGAGATCCGCGAAGCCTGGACGCGCTGATGTCAGCGTGCGCAGGCTTCGGCATGCCGGCAACTCTCCGCCAGCAGCGGCAGCGCTGCCGCTGCTGGCGGAGAGGTCCGCGAAGCTTTTGAAGGCAGGCGGGGGGGAGCAAAGACTTTCGCCCCCGCCAGCCTTCAGAAGAGGTCCAGGACCTCTTCTGAAGGCTGGCGGGGGGCAAAAGTCTTTGTCCCCCCTGCCTGCCTTCCCAGGGGCTTTTAAATCGCTTTTTTAAAATGCTGGGGGTGGGAAGAAAAGCCCTTGTCCCCCCCCCAGCCTTCAGAAGAGGTGGGGGCAGACTGTCCCCGGACCTGGTCTGAAGTCGGTTTCCCTAGGAACGCATTAATTGATTTTCAATGCATTCCTATGGGAAACCGTGCATCGCAAGACGAAAAACTCGCAAGAAGAAAAAACTTGCGGAACGAATTAATTTCGTCTTGCGAGGCACCACTGTATAAACTGCCACAGCAGGCCAGATTAGGCCCCCGAAATGGACTTTGGACATGCCTGCTCCAGACGATTACTTCATCAGGAAGCCAGCCTGGCTTATATTGTAACATGCTAAATTCAGCGCCTGACACCCAGGAATTAGAAGGGGAGTCTAGGCACCCCACAAATGTATGACAATGTTAAATAGCATTGGGGATATAACTGTGTCCTGAAGCACCCCATGGTGTAAACACCAGGGGGCTGAAAAGCACTCTCCCAGTGCTCCTCTCTGGACCCAGTACTGTAAATAGAACTGGAACCAAGGTAGCACAGGGCTCCCAATTCCCATTCCATGGAGTCGGTGGTCAATGGTATCGAAAGCCACAGTCAGATTGAGATGCAGGAGCGAGGTGACCCTCCCCTTGTCCTGCTCTTCATGAAGGTCATCCATCAGGTGACTGAACAAAGATGGGTACTGAACAATTGCAAACACAAATTTGGAGTTTGATTATGCAGAAAATGTGTTTTTGGACACGGAGCACGACTAACCTTGATTATTCCAGTGAATCCCGGGCACCAGTAACCAATGACTCATTTTTTTAACAGATTGTTACTTCCTTTACTGTGACTCACATGTTTTTGCCTCGGTCCATGGACTGCTTATCCATTTGCAGGTCAAACTCTGTCGTTATGTCATTCAATTCGCCCAGCTTCCCAAAAGAGCTCCATTCGGTGTTGATACACATGCATCCAGCACCATGCTCCAAGCCTGCTATATGCTGCAACTCCTCCACATAACCGCAGTTAGTGCCAGCATCTACCATATGCAGGAAGGCAGGACACAGGGAGAGAAGCTCAAAACAGGAGAAACAGCATTTTAATAAAGCCTCCGGCTGCACGGCAATGAGAAAGTGCAACTGTCCTGCAACTGTCCATCTATATGCCAGTATCCTAACTCTCACAATAGTTAGGGCCTGCCATTTTGATGAAATGCAACATCTTCCTAGAATGTGTGCTTAGAATCCAGCTCCCTAATTCTTAATCACCAGGGAATTGGTTTCTAGCCCTGTGATGTGGCTACATACTATGCTGAGATTCTTCCAATCTAGGAAGAATAGCCAGTTTCTTGGCACCCCTGCCCCCCACATCTACTATAAGGCATACGCAAGCCTTCCAGCTCAACAGCTTGCTAGCAAGTCGCCAGCCCCATGCAAGGTTTTGCTTACCTATCACCAGCCCAACTTCACATGGCTCTTTCTCAGAATGGCAGCTCAACAAGGTTCCCACAGAGTCGTTTATTACAGCAATGACCTCAATCTGGTAGTTCTGGAGAGAAAAAAATTAAAGCGACTCTCTTGTTTTCTCACCAGAAGCACACACCCCCCATGCATGCTTCAGTCACAGCTGACGCAGCCGCTGTCCTCACCTTGCAAGTCTGGTTAAGAGCTGTTTGGAGCAGTTGTGCCACATCATGCCCCTCCACACCTGGCCACCGGCAATCCTTGCTCCATCTGATCAGCTTACACTAAGGGGAAACCAAGCAGGAAGGCCACTGAGAAACTTCAACAAACCACTGAGAAACCCAGCCCTGCTTCCTACAAGCAAAGTATTCAAGCAAGAGGGCCAATGGGGTTATTCATGAAAACATGTCCTGTGATCTTTGAAAAGTAGAAGAATCCAAATCTGAGAATGACTTTGACAATTCATTTACTCTATATATTCATTCAGCAACAAGCTCTATATTGGTTTAATCAGCTGCCACCAGTTTTGTATTTGGATAATGGGTTTGTGTATTTTCTAAAGAGCTGTGCTATGTTTTATTCTTTTTATGTGGGCTGCCTTGGGAGGATTTTCCCTCCTCTGAGGCAGCGTGCAAGTTCTGAAATAAATGAATAAAACAAATAGCGCAAAATCAGTATGCTGATGACACCCAGCTCTATCTCTCTGTTCCATTTGAATTTGGAGAGGCAGGACAGGTGCTGGGCCAGTTTGGAGTTGGCAGCGAACTGGATGTGGGCCAATAAATTGAAAATGAATCCAGACAAGACCAAGGTGCTGTTTCTTCCAGGTTATTGAGATCTGGATGTGGGAACACAGCCTGTTCTGGATGGGGATGCACTCTCCCTAAAGGAGCTGGTACTTTGCCTGGAGGTGCTCCTGGACTCAGCACCACCAAAGGAGGACCAGGTGGCTTCAGTGGCAAGAAGCACCTATTTTCAGCTCTGGCTTGTTTGCCAGCTAGTCCTTCCTAGACAAGGAAAATGTGGCCACAGTTACGTGCGTTCCGGTAATTTCCACCCACTCAGGTGGACTACTGCGATGTACTGTGCATGTGGCTTCCCCTGAAGGTGGCCCAGGAGCTGAAACTGCTGGAGAATGTGGCGGCCTTGCTACTGTCAGGTATCACTGGCCAGATGCACGTTTTATCAGTTTTGAAAGATCTGCAGTGATAGCCAGTTTGCTTCCAGGCTCAATTCAATGTGCTTCTGTTAACACAGAAAACCCTAAATTACTTGGGTCCCAGATATCTGATGGAGTGCTTCTTCCAATGTCAATCAGCATGAGCATTAATATTTGCAGGGGAGACTCTAGTCATGCTGCTGTTATGGAATGTGGTTTGAGAATAAGTGGTGAGCAGAAGGACCTTTTCAGTGGCAGCCCCTAGGCTTTAAGAATGGGCACCCTTCAGAGGTGCATATTGCCCAGATACTGTACAACAGCAGTGAGGAACTCAATCTGGCCCATGAGTCAGTTTTCCCCAAACCCAGTGCCGGAATTAAGTATAAATTAAATAAGCTATAGCTTAGGGCCTCCAAAAAAATTAAAGGGGGAAAAAAGATATACATTTCCAAAATATGAGATAAAAAACAAATAAAATAAAAGCTACATACGGCAACAGTATTTTGGCTCCTATCATGTAAGTAATGGACCCCGCCTGCTAGCCTGCTCCCTAAAATATCACATATAAAGGGCCCCATTACCTTCAGTAGCTTAGGGCCACATCAAACCTAAATCCGGCCCTGCCCAAACCACGCCCATATGCTGCACCCTTGACATCATGTTATGTCAGGTGTGGGGCACATAAAGACATGACTGCAAAGGGGAAATGGGGAGCCTTAAAGTGCACTCCTGACCATTCCTTGGCAAACAAAGCTTGTTCTCAATGCCAGCCAGCTGAGTGAAGTGGGTCAGGAAAGTGGGTACAAGATCATGGCTTTAAAGTTCCCTTTGGATTTCCTTCCTATCTCCCGTCTCCCGTCCTGCCTGCTGCTGGGCCAACAAAGTCTTCACCTGGTTCAGCGCAATATGTTCACAAGGAAAGGGAAAGCAGAAGCAGAGCGACAAATTTTTGGTGTTGAGGCTCAGTCCATCCAAAAACGTGGCCACACATTTTGCAAGGAATTCAAAAAGCTGGAAAAGAAAGCACGGTATTAGGAGTACATTCCACTCGCCTCAGGGCACGAGGCCAACAAATGACGGCAGCAAATATTTGCTAGCAGTGTGGAACCTGAAATTTCACCAGTAGTGTGATCTCACCAAATCACCCAGTAGGGTTTTTTATCAACCTCTTACCACATTATTATTATTATTATTATTATTATTATTATTATTATTATTATTATTAAAAAAAAAACAAATGTACCGGTACACAAGATAGAAACAAATATTTTTTAAAAGGAATGGCTCTGACGATGCTTAAGCAGTATAACTGAAACCAGCATCAAGACAGGTTCTGCTAGATACACCCAGAATCTGACTCAGTATAAGGCAGGTTCCGATGTACGTGGCAAAATCTGTCTTTTTCCTATGGGGACAAATATCTGTTTTGGGTAGGGAATTTAATTCAGAAAAAATATATTTGCGGGGAGAAGGGTTAATCTGCCCATTACCCAGTATCACAGTCATAATATGATGGGGGGGGGCTTGTAGCTACTTCCCGCATTTAAATGCAGGAGATACTGTTAACTGCCAAGGTTAGGGAAATTGTAGGGGAAATTAATAAGGTAAAGGATGTAGAGCAGGAAGAATAAGAGCAGGAGGAAAAATAGAGGAGAGGAATCAGAATACATGTTAGCCCCTCACTGTATTCAGTGGGGCTGATTCCTGTGTGTGTGTAAGATGGCAGCTGAAGGGCCCCAGGATGAGTAAGTCAATTTTAAGGAGCCAAACAGCTGATGGGCTACAGGGAGGAAAGGTGCTCTCAGGGCATTGGGCAGAGAAGAGTGTCAGAAGAGTAAAATGATCAAGGAGGGGCAGGGTGAGATGAAAGAGCAGCTAAGTGGGAGAATGAGAAAGAAAACATCTGAAAATCAATACAATAATTTTAAATTCAAGACAAACGAAGAAGCTTGTGAAGAGAGCAGAAGGTGCATTCATGATTATTTGTGCTCATGATGGTAACTGGTTGGATATACTGCTTCATTTCCAATCAGTGCATGTCCCATAGCTTTCCATTGTCATCCTGTAATTCGTCATATCACAAATGTTTCAGTTTTGGTTTGTCTTGCTTTTGTTATGTTATAGCTCAAGAAAGTGCCCTCCCAGGTGGCAGAAGCACTGCAGAGCAACTAGCAAAGGGGTATGGTGTGCAGACTGTCCAGTTTCAATCCAGCACTAATGCATTGCTATTCCATCAAAGACATACTGCAGAAGACATCAGCAACCCAACCCAACCCATAATAACAAGCAAAATGAATTAAGTAAGCTGAAGAACTCAAGACAGAGGAATGATACCTGCTCCCCACTGCCGTTGACAATATTCTCAGTAATGGGAAAGTCCTTTTTCTTCATCACCACAGGGTCATCCTTGCGATCTGATAGTTGCAAGAGCATGACCTTCACTTGATCCTTCTTCATTTCTAAACCCAAAAAATCCCCCGTCTCTGAAAAATAGATGTGAACATTAGGATATATAGTGATCAAGACTGCCCATGTCTCATTCATATGGTTGCCATATAAATTCTTTTTAAATTGCTATGGGGGTGGGAGAGCTGGAACTGAGGTGGGGGGTGTCTGTCACCAGGACTGTTTGTTTGTTTGTTTGTTTAGCCCAGCTTTGCTGCTAATCAATGGACAATCTTAAATTAGAATGTGAATTATTATATAGTCAATAAACACTGATAGATTATTTTCCATGAGGGAGAGGAAGCAACTGTCCAGGGTTTCAGTGGCACACAAAAACAAATACAAAATGCAGTAGGCCAATCATCACTTAGGTTCATGATCATCATATGTGACTAGGTGCTGAACGGTGATAGTAATTCAGAGTCACCAGGCTCCATGCATAGGTTTAGAAACTAAAACCAGCTCAGTTGGTTAGAGTGTGGTGTTACTGGAGCTAATAACACCAAGGTTGCAGGTTCGATCCCTGTATGGGACAGCTGCACATTCCTGCATTGCAGGGGGTTGGACTAGATGAATCTCAGGGTCCCTTCCAACTCTGCAGTTCTATGATTCTATAATTCTGTTGAATTATGATTCTATAATTCTTGGCTAGTCCGTGGAAGTGCTTTCAACCTAGCTGTTTCTGCTGTTGGTGCAAAGGCAGGAGCTGTCACTGCATAACACATTATTCTTACGATTGTTATTACTATTTATATCTCACCTTTCCACCCAAAGAGCTGGTAGTAGCACTGTACTTTAGAGGGTATCTATGTGTTTTTAAGGATTCTACTGAGCTTCTACTACAACACAGTTCTGCCCCTGAACAAGAAGGGTCATAGCTTAGTGGAAAAGCCCCTGTGTTGCATGCAGGGGGTCTCAGGTTCAATTCCCGGTATTTGCAGGTAGGGTTGGGAGAGTAGGTTCCTTGTCTGAAGCCCTGGACAGCTGCTGCCAGAAAATGTAGACAATACTGAGCTAGATGGACCAATGGGTCTGACTCAATGGTCCAAGAAATGTACAAAGGTGGCAGGTGCCGCTTGGCAATCTGTGCTCAACAAGACCGCAGTTGTATGTGTTAGCCTACCAAGCCTCACAACCCTAAGCAGAGCCCAAGCCCTTCATCCTCACTCAGATGACTGCCTGCTGTATCATTCTGCAGGCCACCTCTCAGCCAACACCAGCATTGTTACCACCAAGCTAGACAGGCAAACTGTGGACATATGCGGATTACCAGATTCTGGGTCATTCTTGCACATGCTAGACAAACCAGGAAATCGCTCCTTCGCAAGGCTCTGTGCATGATATAATAGCATTTCATCTTTCTCTTTGTCCCCCTCCCCTCCCAAAAAATGTGCATCCCTGTGTACTCTCAGAGATTCACAAGCCAGTACTTGGAAGTTTTGAAGCCAAATGTGGCAATCGGGAAGCCAGGGTGTTGTGGAAAATAATGTGGAGCAGGAACAAAAGTGTGGAAAGGAATGGTATTCAAAGTACAGCTACATGGGCTGTTTAAAAAAATGGCAACCCAGTGCAAGCTGTAAAGGAGTCTGGAGTCAGCCATTGGTTTTCAACTGGTGGGTCAACTCAGGACCCACTCAGAACCCCTAATCCAAGGTGGACCACAACAGCAGCACTATCACCAGTGGGTGATATATTGGGCGGAAATTAAGAAATGGGCTCCTCAAATGCATGCTGGGGTTAAAAGTAAGTCCTAGGTCTGAAAAGGTTGAAGACTATGGGTCTAGACTAGGTCTCCAGCTGTTTTTGGACTCCAACTCCCATCATCCCTAGCTAGCTGGATGGTGGGAATTGTATTCCTAAAACAGCTGGAGACCCGAGTTTGGGAAACACTGGTCTAGACAACAGTTCAGGCAAACTGCCAAAAAGAAAGCACACTTACCAGTGCCATCAGTCAAGGTACAAACGTAAGAAGGCAGCATGGGTAAAGGGAGGCTATCTTTAACCTTCTCCTTGAGGCCAGTCTGCATGGCTGAATACAAAGAATCCCTCACATGTTGAAGCTGCTCCTGGGGTAGATGAAAGGCCTGTACATGTTTCTGGATCTGGTCAGAAACAGGAGCGTTTTTAGAGGGAGCACGGTGGGGAAGCAGTTTGTGATCTTCCCTGCCCTCAGTACTGGACGTGCCCACAAACGAACTTCTCTTTAACCTGGGAACAAAATTCATCTCCCTGGAGCTTTGAGGTGAAGGTGAAGCTGTAGGTGTAGGTGTACGTGATTGCGAAAAGGTGACAGCTAAAAAAGAGGACTCGCTGGCATCAGAGTCCCGCTGCTTGGGAAGAGGGGGAAAGCCTGAATTACGTCTGGAGTCGAAGGAACTAGGTCCTGAATTAAGAGCGAAAAATGTGTTGGAGGCCGAGCTGGAATCCAGCGAGGAATTTACCACTAAGGAAAACCTATGACGGTCCTCGGAAGCTGGATTGGGACCTGACATGGAATTTAGCAGAAACGAAACTTTAGAACACAGATCATCGTCACTGTCTCTCCGACTGGCTCGGCCGTGGTCTGACATGGTGTCATCGGTCACAAAAAGCCCTCGTCCGTCAAGTCAGCAAAGGGCGGAAAGCGCAAGGGGAGAGCGGGGGCGAGGCAGGCCAGCATGTGGGGCTGGGAGTTGAGTCCGGCTCAGGGTGGGGCGCAGAGTGAGGCCGAATGTGAGCGGGCCAGTTTTGAAGCTGCGCGAGCGAGGCATGAACAGACACACGAGGCAGGGTGCAGGAGGGAGAGGTGAAGTAGAAAGAAAGCAGAGTGGGAGGGAGGGAGGGTGGCAGAGGAGGAAAGGAGAGAGAGAAAGGAGAGGAAGGCTTGGAGCAGGAGGCAGTTGGAAGATTCCTCAAGCGAGAGAGTGGAATGGAAGCGGGGGGGGGGGAGTGGAATGTGGGGCCACAGAGTTATAAAAAGGTCAGAGGAGACCATATAATTGTCTGCATAGGCCGTTTCATGGTTCATACTGAAAAGCCGTTTTTTTTAAATAGCCTCTGGAGTTGAGGGCTGGGGAGGAGAGTCCCCTGAGGGGATTTTAACCTTGCTGTGACTAGACCCCAGCAGTGCCCACCTCCAAATAAAAGATAGCTGTGGAGTTCACACACTTTCTAATTCAGGTCTTATCTTGAAGAAAGACGTTTCTTTCTTTCATTTGTTTTCTCCACCTTTGAAAAAATAGCCTTGCCAATGGAAATTCCAATGTGAGTGCAGACTTTTGTCCCAATTGGTTGGTGGGGCAGAGTGGCCTATGACTAGGGACAGAGGAGCAATTTTCAAGCCAGATTTATCAAAGTCGCGCTTTCCAAAGCAATATGAGGACTGAAACATAGCTATCCTTCAAGCTTCACACTCATCTGAATTTTGTGATGCAGTTCTCCAGTCAAAAACGTTCACAAAAATTCATATGTTAGGGGAAAGGGTGCATAAGAAGGAATTTATATACAAAATTAACACACAAAAATAGATTCCATTAGGGGGAAATGCTAGTTAAAATGTGTACACCAGTCAAAAATGCATATAGAAATGTATTTGTTAGGAGAAATTCACACTAGAATGCTGAAGAATTTTCATGAGGGTTTTTCCTTTAAAGCAACAAAAAACCCTTCACAAACTGATGCTGTAATGTGGAGATTGGAGTTTATGATTTGAAAAACAAGAAACAGATAGAACCAAATTGACAGATTCTTCCGTTCCAAACTATGTCAGCCTTTCATTGAGGTTCACTTTGGATATCACAGGTTGAGGATCAGGACTGAGACTAAGCCTGCTTCCAGACTGTCACCATTTTGTTCCAGTGGATTCCACTGAGCGTGGAACAGTCTGCTTCAGGAGTCAGTGGGCTTTTCACCACTGGAGGCCTATAATCAGAGTTTCCCATCCCTCAGGTGAAATGTGACTTAGCATCAAATGGGGAATGTGCTTACTGAATGAGGTCTGATTGTGCAACAAGATTTTCACCTCCTCTCCTCTCTCTGCACACGCCCTAAACTCATAGCTGTCAACTTTTCCCTTTTCTTGCGAGGAATCCTATTTGGAATAAGGGAAATGCCCTTAAAAAAGGGAAAACGTTGACAGCTATGCCTAAACCTGCCCTGGGGTGTTCTTCAAATCCACCAGAACAGATTTAGGAGGCATAGGGAGGAGGAATGGGGGGGGGGAGTCATGTTGCACAAGAAGACCTTGTACCAGAGCATGCAACCACTTAGTTGAACGCTGCCCAAAGCAACAAGCCCAAATTTATGGCAAGCTTTGAGAACAATGACAGAACAGCTGACCAAACAGGTCCATGCTTTTATTAGCAATTGATTGGCAGCTAGAGAGAAGTGCTCTTACCTTAGACTCATTGCACTGGCTTCGCATAAGAGCTGCTTCCAGGAGCTTTTTCTGCTCAGAGTTCATTAGAACTGAGCACTTGGCAAAATACTCTGTAAGGAGACAATGGACTGGGATGAATTCAGCATATGCTTTGCATGCAGACAATCTCAGATTCAATCTCCAGGTAGGAATGGGAAAGGTTGAAGCCTTGCGTGGTCTAGACCTGTTCTTGGCTTCCTGCTTGTGGTTCATCTGTCCATGACATGACCAGCCAGACTCTGATTTTTTTCAAGTTTGTTTCCTCTCCCATGGGGGATGAGCAAAATGTGCTTTAAAGAAACCACGGTTTAATGTTGTGTGCGGACCACCTTATTGCCAGTGTAGTAGACAATACTGCTAGATGGACCAATGTCTGATTAACCCAGCAGATGGCAGATTCTTCTGTGCTTCCTAGTCATCCTACCAATTCTAGATGCTGGTATCCATTTCGAACAGCTCGACAAGAGCCTTGTACATGAGTGATTGCATCATATCCCACTCATAAGACTCTGTGTTGGTTTTGCTGCAATTGGACTACCTCAGGAAGTTATTCCAGTTCCTTGAGTCAAGGGGCTGGTTGCATTAGTAACATTTTTAATCTTTAGAGATGCAAGTTAAGGCTAATTGTCCAAGTTCTGGTCACAACAGAGCCATGGCAGGTCTGTGTGGAGCTGTGCCATTTTGATATATGTTCACCCTTATTCGTATAGGATGCCTGATGGTAGCCAATAGTACCCTAGCTGAGATCATTTTCAAGGATGGCCACTGGTGTCAGCCAAGATCTCATCCCTATGACTTGCACTCAGCAGGAGTGCAAAACTTCACACCTGAATGAAGCACATGGTAGTTGCAATTATCCGCTGCTCCACCAACACACTGCAATTAGAAGCAAATGCAAAACACAGCTAGACAGAGTCACGCTGCTATGCATACCTTAGGATATAGATAATGCATAGTGAAGCAGAATTATCTGGCCACACTATTGCTGGGTGATCTGGCTCATTAAAGACAGTTATGAGGTGGCTTTCTACCATAACTGGCCAATTATTAGAAGGGATGAGATGTAAAACGAGCTGCAAGGACGTGAGTCTCTCCGTGACCCAGTTCACACATAATGTTAAGCGAAACCATGGCTAAGCATGAATGCACAAACGTTTCCCAAGCAAAGATTGCTGAGGTGGGACCCATCAGGCAACACTGTTCTTTCCTGATGAACCACAATAATCCAGAAAGCTGAGCGTATCATTGGTTGCCAATGCGGCTATCGTGAAGACTGAGAAACTCACAAACAGTGGCCAGTATCCAGCCAAACCGTTTCATGAGTGCAAGGACTTTCAGGTGTATAATGGAACTTTCTTCTCCCCACTCAAACCCTAAATCTTTTCTGGGGAGTCCCCCAACCCTCAGGAGCATATTTTTGGAGACAGTAGGGAATTTCCATTCTGCAGCTAAAGGTCACTGTGCCAGCTTAATAACATAAGAATAGCTTGCTGGGTCAGGCGAATGGCCCACCTAGTCCAACATCCTGTTCTCGGCCAACCAGATGCCTGTGGGAAACCCAAAAGCAAGAGCCACATACAAGAGCACCCTCCCCTCCTGCGGTTTACAGCAACTGGTATTCAGAAGCCTTAGTGCCTCCTACCATGGAGGGAGAGCATAGCCATTGTGGCTAGTAGCCTCGCCCTCCACAAATTTGTCCGGTCCTCATTTAAAGCCATCCAACATTCCGCTTCCTTGGATGTCCCTGAGTTCTAGTGTTATGGAAGAGGGAGAAAACTTATCTCTTTCCACTTTTCCTCTGCCATGCATAATTTTATAATCTTTCATCGTGTCACCTCTTACTTAAATTTTCTCTAAACTAGAAGGTCCCAAATGCTGCAAACTTCATAGGGGAGTTGTTCCATCCCCTTGGTCATTTTGGTAACCCTTTTGGGTGCATTTTCCAATACTACAATATTCTTTTTGCGGTGAAGCGACCAGAACTGTATACAATACTCCAAATGCGGTTGCACCATTGATTTGTATAACCAAACAGTTGCATACCAACCAGAAATGTGAGAGCTCATTTATATGGGAATGGACACTAGGAAAGGATACAGTGGTACCTTGGGTTAAGAACGTCTTGTTCTGGAGGTCCGTTCTTAACCTGAAACTGTTCTTAATCTGAGGTACCACTTTAGCTAATGGGGCCTCCCGCTGCTGCTGCCGCTGCCACTGCTGCCACACAATTTCTGTTCTCATCCTGAAGCAAAGTTCTTAACCCAAGGTACTATTTCTGGGTTAGCAGAGTCTGTAACCTGAAGCGTCTGTAACCTGAAGCATCTGTAACCCGAGGTACCACTGTATATTGTTTAGTTATTATCCTTCCTTGCTCATGACTGAGAGTACCATCCTTTGCAGCTTTAAACTTAGAAGCTAAGACAAGGTTGATTTAACCTTCTAGAAACAATAATCCCAGCTGTTTTAAGGCAGACTGGATTTTCCTTGATGTTACATCTTTTCTTCCTCTTAAGAAACAACAATCAAACATACATGTGTTTTTAACACTGATTGGGAGCCGCCCAGAGTGGCTGGGGAAACTCAGCCAGATGGGCGGGGTATAAATAATAAATTATTATTATTATTATTATTACATTCTTTTGTGAATAAATAAAAGTATTATTTACTTACATAATCTAAGTCTTGAAGCAGCAATAACAGTAGCAAAATGAAGGCAGGTTTATAACTACTATCTAAGTAACAAAAGTACACAATGTAAATTCAAAAATAGTGTCTGAGATGCAGAGCTCAGACGTGCACCTATGGTCAGCTTGGAAGCATAATGAAGAAAGTGAAGGCTGCCCAGACAGGAAGTATGTAGTGTTACAGCTCCCTGACAAGGCAGACAAAGGAAGTGATCTCACAGAGTTCTATCAAATTTTAAATGAAAGGTCTGTGCCTCAGCCCCTTCATGTGCCTATCTAGCAAAGCATGAATTGTTGATTTGACTGTAATAATGTCCCACAATTTAGGCTAGTGACTGAGTGAACCCTGAGTTGGGAAGTTAATGGTTTGTTTAGTCCTCTGATGAGCTACATCATCACTAGGCAAACAACTGCATTATGGGGGGAAATAACATTTGGCCTCCTTTATATGCTGTTGCAATGATTACCAAGATACTGTATGTGAAATACTATCAACATTGAAATATATTGTTGTAGTCATGTTACACTTTAAAGGTTATTTTATATTCTCTCCATGAAGAAAAAGAAAGAACCAGCCAGCAATGAATGACCAAAAATGAAGGCCTCTAAAATCTATAAGAAAGGAAGGTGATCCTAAGAGAGACATTAGCAAAAGGCATCCGGATGGAGGAAATGTGAGACTGAGACGGGGACAAGATACAGGGTGGGCACCTCCAGCTGGAGATAGGATACTTTTTTCAGAGGGTGGGAGGTAATTTATAAGAGAGATTGTGTATACTCATCCTATCTTTGCCTCTGGTAAAC